GTGAGGGCGGCGCACTGCCGCCTCTCGACACAGGGGACGCAGGTAGGGGCAGGCCCCAGAGGAAGGGGAGGTAGAGACCGGGGGAGACCAGAGACAAGGACACGGGAGGCCATGCCTCGGAGACGAGGCAGGGAGGGGTGACCAAGACGGTGGTACCAAAGGAGAGTCTGGTGGGACAGGAGACGACACGAGCAGGGAGCAGACTCAGGACCAGACCAGGACGCTGCAGCAAACACCTGACTTAATGCAGTTACCTGGCCAGACTCAGAAGCCGGAGGAGACTCAGTAGTAAGTGTGTACAGACTCGACCCTGGCCGACGAGTGAACGTGGCCAAGTGTCGGCCTGTCCGAGCACACGTGCAATGGGTCACCCGCTGACTCGCAGGAGTGAACTGGTCAACCCCCCTATCCTGTAGGTCCACTCCACTCACCAAGTTCGTAGAGAACGAGGGGAGGTAGAGACCTGACAGGGTGCCAGAGGGGGTTGCCGGGCACGGTAAGACAGTGGAGAAGCTAGCAAGGACAGGACCCCCAGAGGGGTCCGCCAGGGAGACTGCAACCGGCCGACTAAGCGGCGTAAGCGTGGTGCGGTCCCAAAAGAAGGAGCGGGAAGCACCCGAGTCAAGGGTAAAGGTGTGTAAGGCCTGAGCCGACGTAGTACCTGAGAGAGCAGACTCACCAGCACCTGGGGCAGCAGATGCACTAGCACCTGGGGCAGTAGACGCACTAGCACCTAGAGCAGTAGCCTCAATGCCCGGGTCAGGCGGAACACAGAGGTAACAGTCACCCTCAACACTAGCAGACATAGCATACATGGCAGCAAGGATAGCATCATAGTCAAGATCAAAGATGGCAACCCCCGCCCTAGACAGATCTCCCCAGCGAGGGATCTCTGACGCTTCAGGGAACTGGTGACGCCACGCGTCCGTCAGCCGACCGAAGCAGCGCTGGGTGGAGTGCGGGCCCCCGCACTGCTCACCAGCGCGGTCGCCGGTACGGAGGACGTAAGTGCAGGGACCAGTACCCCCACCGCGCTGACGCGCAGCGTACCACTCACGAAGCTGCTGAGGGGACAGGGTCTCACGACTGCGCTGTTGCTGCTGGCGCGGACCACCACCGGACCCACTCCTCTGCGTAGAGTCGCGACTCGCTCCACCACCGCCGCCGCCGCCGCCTTCGCCGCCTCCGCCACCTCCACCGCCTCCGCCACCTCCGCCGCCTCCGCTCCCTCTGCCACCACCGCCGCCTCCTCCGCCGCCACTGCTGCCATCGCCGCCGCCATCCCCGGCACCACTCCCACCACCACCCCCACCCCCTCCACTGCCTCCACCACCACCTCCACCGCCCCCGCCAGCCCCTCCAGCTCCCTTGCCCCCCTTGCCCTTGCCGGTGCAGCGTCTCCCGCTAGGGGCAGACGCAACGTCGACCCCGTAGAAACCAACGAGGTCGGGAGCAGCAGCAGAAGCAACAGAGGGCAAGAGGGGGGAGGGGGAACACCCCTCAAAGATGGGGGTGCGAGGGTCACCACGAGAGGCTCCTATAGCGACTATGCTCTTCTCTGCTGCTAGGAGGTGCTCCTTGAGGAGGTCAACGGTGAGTGTGGTGGGGCAGACTGAGAGGAAGTGGTCCCTGACTAAGCGAAGAGAGTCAGGGAGCCGGGTGTCTATGTAGTAGAGGGTGATGTACATGGGGGGGGGGGTTCTTGGCGCAGAACTCAGCAGGAAGCGCAGCGCGGTAGCGAGTGTCACTAGTGCGGAGGTGCGTAATGAGGTCAGCGACTGTGGGAAAGGCAGCAAGGTCAGGGAAGAGGTACGGTAGCATGAGGCGGCTCAGTGCAGCAGTGGCAGGGGAAGAGTAGCATGCAACTACAGCGTCGTACAAGGTCTGAGCACTCTTGTACTGGCTAAAGTGCGCACGCTGAGTGGTTGGTAAGTGGTGACGCACAGCAAGACGGGCAGCAGCATCGCGTGTCGCCCACTGTGAGCGAACAGTGCTGTCAGCAGTAGCAGGCGGGGAAGGGGAGGAACCAGAGGTGAGGTCGAACAAGGAGAGGCCGTCTGCCCTATCGCACTGGAGGAACAGCTGGAGGTCATCGACCCAGACCTCAAAGTCAACAGCACGACCCTCTGTATCAAAGGTAAGAACACTTGGGGTAGCCATGACTGCAGTGGCCTAGCAAGGAGTGAGCTCACCAGTCCGAGTAAGTAGGGTTGGGGCGCGCCGGTAGGACGAGGAGCGGCTCGACGGCAGGGCGGCTCGGCGGCTCAGTGGCTCGGCTGCTGGGCGGCTCGGCTGTCGGGCAGCTCGGCTGCTGGGCGGCTCGGCGGCTCGGCTGTTGGGCGGCTCGGCGGCTCGGCTGCTCAGCGGCTCGGCGGCTCGGCGGCTCGGCTGCTCAACGGCTCGGCGGCTTTTCTGTTGGGCGGCTCGGTAGGGGCGGCGTTGGGGCCGCTAGGGGCGGCGACGGGGCCGCTTAGGGAGGGGAGCGGCTACGGGGCCGTGTAGTGGCGGCGACAGGGCCGCTTAGAGGTGGCAACGGGGCCGCTTAGGGGCGGCGACGGGGCCGCTTAGGGGCGGCAGCGGGGCCGCTTAGGGGCGGCGACGGGGCCGCGTAGGGTGAGAGGCGGCGACGGGGCCGCGAGGGGCGGCGACGGGGCCGCTAGAGGCGGCGACGGGGCCGCGTATGGGCGGCGACGGGGCCGATAGGGGCGGGGACGTGGCCGCGTATGGGCGGCGACGTGGCCGGTAGGGGCGGCGACGAGGCCGCGTAGGGGCGGCGACGGGGCCGCGAAGGGTGAGAGGCGGCGACGGGGCCGCTAGGGGCGGCGACGGGGCCGCTAAGGGCAGCGACGGGGCCGCGGAGGGGCGGCGACGGGGCCGCGTAGGGGCGGCGACGGGGCCGCGTAGGGTGAGAGGCGGCGACGGGGCCGCTAGGGGCCGCGACGGGGCCGCTAAGGGCGGCGACGGGGCCGCGTAGGGGCGGTGACGGGACCGCGTAGGGGCGGCAACGAGGCCGCTAGGGGCCATTAGGGGCCTGGAGAGGGCGGCGAAAAAGGCGCGCCTCGGGCAGGAGCGACTGGCGCTCCGATCACGAAGGAAAATTTCAGTGGTGGGCCCAAGGAAGCGTTCCCACTAGGGAACCTGCTCTATACCATGTGAAGAATGAGGAATGAATGAACTAGCAAGAAGGTGGGTACAAGTAGGAAAACCTAGAAGTGTTGTACCCCATATTGTCTGCCCCACTACAGCCTAAACAGACTATAGCATGTAAGTTTGACACGCTCTGCAGTTCTTCATCTCTACGCCCAAGATTGGCTTTGCTACGCAATAGTGCCAACCTCGTCCATCAACCTCATCGGATACGTGGACGGTGATCACGCAGCAGACCCCGACAATCGACAGTCCAAGACCAGGTTCCTGTTTCACCTTGAGCCAGCAGGGCCAATCGCTTAGAACTCTAAAGAACAAGAGCTGGTTGCCCTGTCTTCGACCGAAGCTGAATTCATCGCCACGACAGCAGCAGTTCGTGAAGGTCTCTACCTGCAGAAACTCCTGCAAGAGGTGAAAATCCCAGCTTCGTCAACCTTTTGACTTCACTGCGACAACGCGATCCGAATCGCAAACAAACCTGGATTTGTCAACCGCAACAAACACATCGCGCTGCGGTACTTCTTCATCAAGGACGAAGTGGACAAGGGGAAGATGGACCTGACCTACTCCCAGACGGGCGACATGGCAGCAGACTTTTCTCACGAAGCGACTGCCACGTCAGCAGTACCAGCACTGCTCCGAACTCAACGAAGTAGTCAAGGGGGGTCAAGGCTTGCTACGCCAGGGAATGAAGGGAGGTGTTACGTATAGTGAAATGAGAATCTGCAGTATGCATCTCTGTCTGTAGAAAGAACGAAGAACGCAGCAAGGAGTACAAAGGCAAAAGGTCGAAACGACGCGTGCAGTTGGAGAGCATCTGGATCGTTGGAGCAGACAACATCGGGCAGCTGTAGGAGCGAGGAAATTGGCGGGAACGGTTTTGTGACCGTACGCGCCGCACTGTTGGGTGTGAATTCGAATAAGGGAATGTATTCCTAGTAAATGGCTAGCTAGGACGTTTGGTATTTCCTCTGTACTGTTATTTATACGCATGTACTTGTATGCGTTAATCGTCTCAATCATTTTACATTCACTCTGATTTGATGTCAAGGGCCCACCACTACCACACACTCTGTGTGAACCTTCCCGAGGTGATCCTAGGTTCGATCAACTTCTGATCGCAGCAAACCACACGGACGTGAAGTGCTTGGGCCATCCCCGCTAAGAGCGGGCTACAGTAATGAATTTCTACATTCATTACAGTTATGGAATATAGTTCAAATCGCAATCATTTTTAGACTTTTACCGCAGCTAGTCCACGCCGCACCGCCCTCTCCTTATAGTCGCTACCACCCCTGACAATTTTTGCGAGACGACTGTCACGAACGAGGATCCTTAGGGCGGTCCGAAAGCACACGAAACCAACCTGACCAGCGACACCTGCAACCGCGCGTCGCATCGCAAGAAAGAAGAGATGGCTTTCGTAGGGGGACGACATTCCCCGCCCTGCCACCATCACCGTGCCACAACCACATTCTCTCCTCTGGGTGCCTCTAGCCAGCTCCCGTGCTGGTTCACAAATGGGTGTCTGCTTCATTTCACCCCTACCATATCAAGATTGCTGCAAAATACGTTACTGACGCGCTCGGATCCCCGTGTCTTGCTTCTGCTCCGTATGAGCCGTTTCATGATTATTCAGCATCGATTTTCCTCTCACGTTCAAGCTGTCTTGTAGACAGCAAGCAAATATTCTTCCCATTTCAACGGCGACTTCGCCCCTCTCCTCTACCCACCAGCACTACCGAAATTCCTGACGGTGGTGCGAGCCGCATTCCTGCTAAGTCACAGCATTCAGCGTTTGTAGATAACAAGCAGCAGCGCCGCATCTCTTTCATAGAACTTCCTCGCTCGCCATGCCCCCCGCGCTCAACCGGTCGTCGTCGGCAGCGGCAGCGGCGGCGAACGCCAAGATGTATTCGGCGCAGGGGCCGCACGTGGTGGGGCTGGACGAGATCGAGGCGCTCAAGGCGTCGGCCAACAACCTTTTCGTCGAGGGCAAGTTCGGCCAAGCCATCATCGGTGAGTGCCGCGTCAGGCCATCATCGGTGAGTGAGTGCCGCGTCAGGCCATCATCGGTGAGTGAGTGCCGCGCCAGGCCATCATCGGTGAGTGAGTGCCGCGCCAGGCCATCATCGGTGAGTGCCGCGCCAGGCCATCATTGGTGAGTGCCGCGCCAGGCCATCATCGGTGAGTGAGTTCCGCGCCAGGCCATCATCGGTGAGTGAGTTCCGCGCCAGGCCATCATCGGTGAGTGAGTTCCGCGCCAGGCCATCATCGGTGAGTGAGTTCCGCGCCAGGCCATCATCGGTGAGTGCCGCGCAAACCTCACACACACCTGCCACCTGCCAGCTGCTCCCTGCGTGCGGACGACAGCCGTCAAACCCGATTCCCGAAGCGATTGCGGCCAGGTGGAAAGTCATTACCGCTGGTTTGTGGTCCGCGGAGAGCGGTGGGTGGGTGCAAGGTGTTGGAGTTGGCCAGAATCCCTAATCCCTTCACCATTCCCTTCCTCACCTGCTCTCCGTCTTCTTTTGCCCGATCTAGGTTTCTAAACCCCCAAACCGCCTCGTACCTGGCTGTGCCCTCACGTCGCGTTATTTTTTCCACTCACCCGCCCGCCCGCCCTCCCGCCCTCCTGCGCGCCTGCCCTCCTGCCCTCCCGCCCTTCTGCCCGTGTGCCCGCGTGCCCGCGTGGCCGGCAGGCTACAGCTACGCCATCAAGCAGATGGCGGGGCTCATCGTGCCGTCCGCGCGCCGCGCCAGCACCAATCTCGACAGCCCCTCCGCCGTCGCCAGCGCCGTGCGCGACGCCAAGCCCGACCCGCGCACCGCGCAGCTCGCCGCGATCTTATACAGCAACCGCGCTGCGGCCTACTTGAAGCTTGAGAAATACGACAAGGTGAGTTATTGTCAGCGTACTGCGAACCGCGCGGGACAGAATATAACGAACTGTGGTGCTGGAAACACTGGATGCGCCTCTATTGCTGAATGGGCGGAAAAAGAATTTGAATGATTGTGTTCGTCCTAGTCTGGAAGGCGATTTTGAAGCTCAACACAGAGGTCACAGACCGTGAACGACCTTACATTCAACTAGTCACGGCTCCTGTGCCGCCCCTCTTACGAGGACACGACCCGCTTCCTTGTGCCTGCGGCAATGCCCTCCGCCCTCTTCTGATTCCACTCTCGCTTTCTCCCTGCCCTCACGTTCCCCGTCAGATCGCCATGCATTTCCGTCCCCCATTATCTCTCCCACCGGCCCACGAAGCACGATTGCGCACAGCTGCCTGGCACCGCCTGCGCACGTCTAGACAGTTTGACACGCACTTGGCACGAGCGTAGCCCGTTTCCAATGGCGCGCCCTGCCTCGCCCCTCTTACCCTCCCCCTCCCATGCCTCCTGCTCGCATCCAAATGACCACACTGCACCCTTGTGGGGGTCGCTCAACGGCATTTGTGAAGCCCTTCGGTGCCTACTGATCGAATCGGCTCTTTCTCTCACCCTCAATTACCTTTCTCCCTTTTCTTCCACTCTCCCAACTCCGTTGCCTCATAGGCTTGCTTGCGGTTCTTCTGACCTATCCGCATTCCTCCTCTCCCCCACCCTGCGTGGCGGGGCCCACCCAACAGGCGGCGGTGGATGCGGGGGCGGCGGCGGGGATAGACGCGAGCAACTTCAAGGCGTGGCTGCGCAAGGCCATGGCGCACAAGGAGCTAGGGCAGTGGTACGACTGCCACGTGGCGTGCAAGGCCGCCCTGCGCCTGGAGCCCGCCAACGAAAACGCGAGGAGCCTGTTTGAGGAGTCGCAGTTCAAAATGGGGTCCGTGCCGCAGCACCCCGCCCCCCAGCCACAGGCAGCGCCGGCGCCACAGCCCTCGTCAAAGAGGTTCGGCTTGTTTGGCAGAAGATGATTCACGGTGCAGGACGGTGGGGGGGGGGGGAGGGGAGGGGATGGATGCTGAGTGGAGAAGGATGTGGTGAAGGGTGGATTACAGGCTGTGCATGGGGATGATATGATACGCCCCGACAAGGCTAGAAGAGTTCTTGGGTGAGCTTTGGGGCGAAATTGGCAAGACGTTCACATTAGGGTAGCCAAGTGACAAGGATGAGGAGAGGTGAGAACGTTGGGAGCATAAGGTTCCCCGAAACGCTGATTTCTGTAGAAATCAGTGAAGGAGACATATTTGTGTAAATAAACTCTCAAAACAACCATTCGGCTTGTTGAGTAATTGAAGTATGGTATACCGTATTCTATAATCCAATACTCTGGTCGGAAACATTTCCCAAAAAAGGTACTGGTAGTCAACATGGACCCCAGAAGATTGTTTCATAGGGGATTGGGAAGGTCCTCTATTTGCCTATCTTGTATTAGACTCTGTTGCCCTTAGTGAGCAGTATAGGTTCTGTGCGTATCATGGGGAAAGCTAGCAACATGGCCTGGCAGCAGCCACGGTACTAGGTAGCCACTGTACTCCAAAAAAACCACAGCTCCCATCATACATGATACCGTAACAGGTGAAAGCATGTCAGAATACCCTTGGCTTTAAACATCATGCTTCTCTGGGGGGGTAAGGAAGGCCTGGCCTGGCCTCCTGTTAGCAAGAGGGCCGTGGTTCCCCAGCAGTTGGAACATGGTAGGAGGGCGTGTGGCACAGCAACAGTGAGGAGAATGGAGAATGTAAGGCTGCAAGAGGCATGGATCATGGAAGCACGAGAAGCAGCACATAAAAGGGTGCAGTGGAATGGAGAGTGGTGCGGACCCACCTTGGCGTTGACTCCATCGTGCGCCAGCCTGTTCTCCTGCTTCCACTTCACAAAGTCAGCGCGAGCGTTCTTCGTCAAGCCCTTGCCTCACACCACGGCGCATTGTCGGAAAGAAGAGGGGATGTGCAGAAGCAGATTGGCACAGAGCGCAGAGCACAGGGGTGGGCACTTCATCGGCCTCCCAAGTACACCAAGATTTTGCTCGCCCTCCCCTCACACCCCATTCCGCGGTGTTTCCTCGTGCGCACCTCGACACTGCCGCGCGGCCATGCACTCACCACTTGCGGCTGGCAATGACCTTCTGCCGCCCAGGGAACTTGAACTTGGCGCGGCGCAGAGCCTCGGCGGCGACAGCGGCGTTGGCCTCCTTGCAGCGCACCGACAGCGGCGTTGGCCTCCTTGCAGCGCACCGACAGCAGCACCTGCCTGATGGCCACGTGCGCACACACGCCCTGCGGCTTCCTAAACGCCCCTCGCATGCCCGTCTGCAGCCTGCGCAGTGCAACACCGCGCACACAGTGAGCGCGCATACCGCCAGGCGCATGGAGTCAGCGCGTACCACTCAATACACAAAACTCCCTGCACCACGCTACCACGCGCCTGGGTGCAGGACGCCTACGTGACGCCGACACACGTGTAACATCGCACACCATCGCCCCGCCGCGGCACGCGAAGCCCCGCCGGCACGAGACGTGCGGACATCGTAACGCCGTCACACGGACATATGGCACTACATAGAGGCGGCTTGCTGACGAGGCGGTCGCACCTGACGAGGCGGTCGCTCGCACCTGACGAGGCGGTCGCACCTGACGAGGCGGTCGCACCTGACGAGGCGGATGCACCTGACGAGGCGGATGCACCTGACGAGGTGGATGCAGAAGGGGAACTCGTCGACGCCCCGCTTCTTCATGCCCACATCGTAAATGCGGATCTTCGCATCTGCGCCCCCCGCTCCGCCCGCCATACCCATCACCCCACCGACCACCAACCACACCCGCAGTCAGCCGCGCCACGACCAGAGTCAGCCACCTCACGCGCAATGTGAATCCTTAAAAGGCGGGACGCTGCAAGAGTGCGGGAATTGACGACGTACCGGGGACACCGCGGCAGTAGCGCGACTTGGGTTACGGCTTGTTCTTAATCCGGCGGTAGCATCTCGCGGGGCCTGGCGGCGGGCGCAAGGAGAAGAGCACCCAACGACAAACGCAAGGGTTGAGTCAGCAGCCGTCCGCGCCGGCGGGAATTCTAAACGCGCAAACGGGCGCAATGCGGGGGCTGAGCGAGACGCGCGCGGCACTTACCGCGACCCATTGCGCCTCTCGCGGGAAATCAAGGCGAAAGGGGAGAAGGGTAAAGAATTGAGCAATCAAAGGCAGCGAGGGGGGCACAGGGGGACAGTCCGCTCCCCAGGTATGGTGGAAACCACGCCCCTTTCTCGTTTCCAACCGAACTGCAAGGCTCGGTGGCGAGCTTGGTTCGGCTCGGACCACAGCCAAAGATGTTGTGCTTCGAAAAAAAACAGATTCTCATTGGTAAGGGCGTGCCAGTTCGTTCATTTCGGGATTTTTCGTGCCACGCACGTATCGAGGTTCAAAAATAACTACCGTACCTAGAAACGAATGCATTGTGGTGGAGTCCAACCATCCAACCATTCCCCGCCACACGAATCAGCAGTGCTCTGACCACGTTGAAAACGAGGTAACAGTTTCCCTCGTCAATCATAGCTTAAAATTTTTTGTGCAGGCGCAGGGGGCGCTGGCGAGTAGAGCGAACCACTGACGAAATCGTGCAAGCGATACAAGGGAAACGAACTGTAGTGGCCAGGACGCGGTGCTGTACCCTTGTTCGCGTCCCTGCTGATTCCAGTAACGTGAGTCAGACGACTCTAGGTACGTGCATGGGGCGTGCCGTCTTGCGAACAGAAGCTGATTGTGTCCGCTGGACACGTTCAGTAAAGGGTTACCACAAAAAATGTGGTAACTGAGGGGGTTTACGAACAGTAAATGTACGAGCTGGAACCCCCCTAAATTGCTGGTTTTGGAAGCAACTGGCAGGAAAGTCGAATATCGGGGATAGATTATGCAGTAATCCCAGGCGACATCAAAGTTTCAGGAATTCGCCTTCGCTGTCGCCTGGTTCCCATCGGGCGACAGGTACGCGCGCTTCGCTGCTTCGCTTGAGCCATGCTCCGCGCGCCTGCCTCTCCCACATCCAACAACGCCGGGGCGCCTGACCATCGCGACGCCACTCGCCGCCCTCCTTCCAGATCGCTCGTCGCCGCGTCACGCGCCACGCCCCGAGGCCGCGACAGCGACGATCGCAGGTACTGCCGGGGCAGGGAGCCGCTACGACTGCCGCACCTCGCGCGCCCTGCGCTTTCCGCCTCGCGGCCGCTTGCGCCCACTCGACCGCCGCGTGCCCCACGCACACGATGGCAGCGAATTTTGGTAGCGGTGCTGTCCTTTACGGGGATCGCGCTCGCTCTGGCTCCGCTGGCGGGTGGCGGGCGTTGGCGGCGGGCGGTCTCCTATCCATGGCGTCTCCCCGTGCTGCGACGAGCTGGCGACGACGCCATGCGACACACTGCCTGGCCCAGCGACGGGGACCTGCGACTATCCGACGACAGAGACGGCCGCTTTGGGGGTGGGTGGGCAGGAGGGGGGAACATGGGCCGAGGGCTGGCGGCGCAGGGGGATGCGCGGAGCGCGGGGAATGGGAGCTGGGGTTGGCGCAACTGGAAGGGTGCGGGGGAGGGTGAGCTGGGCGGGGGGCTGAGTGAAGCGCGGAGGAGGGAGGCGCTGCAGGGGCAGGAGTGGGGCAGCAGAGGGGCGAGGCTGAGAGCAAGGGCTGCGGGGGAGCAGAGCCGGCGAGGCGTGGGCGGTGGGGGCGTGAGTGAGCTGCGGGCGGAGGTTTCAAGGGGCGAGCAGGGCGGCGAGGGGGCGAGCACGGGGGCAGCGGGCAGCAGCGGTGGCGGAGGCGGGCAGCAGTACGGTGTGCAGGCGGTGCAGCGGGAGGCGTGGTGGACAGCGTTTCAGAGAGGCGCGGCTGTGAGCTCACAGGGTGTCCACCAGTGCTCCTCGCTGCTGCCCCCTGACATCCAGCCACTCAACGTGTGCGTGCTCTCCCCCCCTCACACACACACACGCCTTCCTCTACTTGCATGGAGTCCCATACTGCTTTCTCCCTCCCTCTCTATTTTCTCATACTCGCCCTCCCGTTCCTTCGCCCTCTGCAATTCGATCGCTCTGCCATCCCCATCTCTCACCGCATCCCCTCCCCAACCACATCAGTGCACGAGTGCCCCCTACAGCGCGCCTGGCAGTGGCGGACCTCACACTGCCGGACGCGCGGTGGCTGCTGGTGCTGCCGAGGCACGGCGTGGGCAACACGCTGCGAGGGTGGGTGTCCGCCGTGCCATACGCCGTGCTGGCGGGCCGCACCCTCGTGCGCGCCCACGCCGCGCAGCACAGCCGCGTGCTCGACAGCCTCTGCCTCGCCTTCCACTGCGCCTTCCCCGCCCTGCAAGGCCCGCTCTCCCTCGCTGCCACTGCAGGGCAGGGCGGCAGGGCGGGGAGTGAGGGCGAGAGGGAGAGGGAGGCGGAGGAGGTGATGGCGGCGGTGAGGGCGCTCGACCCCATGTTCTTCCTTGAGATTTCCGACACCCCCCATGGTAATCACTCTTGCCACACAACACAAGGAAGTTGATTCTTCACATGTTTCACTTTACACTCAGTGCACCCTGCCCTTTCATCCTGCCCTTTCATCCTGCCCTTTCATCCTGCCCTTTCATCCTGCCCTTTCATCCTGCCCTTTCATCCTGCACTGCCACGCTAGAGTGCCCATCTGCTCTGTGCTGCGTGCCCCTCCCCCCCCCTGCCATGCCCCCTGCAGCGGTGGCGGAGACAGTGGCATCGGACTACCCCCTACTGGCCACGCGGGCCGGCACCTTCTTTGATGCCTTCTGGGAGCGCTCGCCCCCGCTGCGCGCCTGTGTCCTGGCCGCCTTCCACTGCGCCTCCCTCCACTGCGTGCGCTCCAAAGCCCTCTTCGCCCTCCTCGGCACCGGCCCCTCCCCCGCCCTGCTGCTCGCCGCCCGCTCCGTGCTGCACGGCCCAGCCGGCAGTGGGGGGGAGGAGGCGGGCCATGCAGGTGCGGGAGAAAGGGGGAAGTCTGGCGGGAAAGAGAGGAAGGGAGGCGAGAGGGCAGGTGCAGAGCACATGGCGGAACGACAGACGCACAAAGGGCGGACGGAAACAGGCGGGGCGGCCCCTGGGCAGACCACCAAGCGGCATCTCCTGGGCGTGCGGGGCGCGGTTGCAAGTGAGGGAAGGGAGAGGGGTGGAGGTGCGGCGGAGCAAGGGGAGGTGCAGGGAGAGGGGCCGGTGTGGTTTGACGTGGCGGTGCATGTGCGCACTCGCACTCTGGCCGTGGAGAAGGCTGTCAAGCCCGGCAGCACCGACACACAGTGGCAGGGGTGCACCGATGCAGGCGCCAAGCCTTCGGCCTCGGCCTTCCTGCAGGACTGCCTGTGGCGCTGCGTGCTCTCCACCATCACCCTCCTCGCTGCCAACTCCACCACCACCACCAGCTCCAGCAGCAGCAGCGGTGGTGACCGTGCAGTCGCGCAACCAGTGGGCTTGGCAGGAGGTGAAGGAGGGAGGAGGAGGGTGTCGGTGTTTGTGGCGACAGACAACGAGGAGCTGCGCCCTGTGTTTGTGGAGCGCCTGCAGCGCATGGAGGGAGCACACGTGTACTGGTCCGCAGCAGCAGTGCGCCACACATCCAAGGCGGGTGCTGATGGGCACGCGGGGCAGGGGGGGCTGCACGGGCTGGCGGATTGGTGGTTGTTGTCACGTGCCTCTGCTGTGCTGCAGGTGGCGCATGCTAGCTCCTTTGCTTACTTCGCTGCTCTCTTTGCCAATAGCACTTTTGCTTCGATTTCCACACTAAATGGCCGCTGTGATGTGCATTATGAGCATATAGCTGAACTTGTTACTTAAAATGAAGGCTGCCTATCAGCTAAATAATCTAGTGCTTAGTGTTAGCCACACGAAACCGTCCAAAAGACTGCACAGAACATGCCAAGAGATACCGTAGGTGGACGCAAGGGTCTGCTCTCCCATCAAGGAACCTCTTCCACACATGACTGCACCTGCCTCTTGCCCTCCCTCGCATGCATCTCTGCACCCACAGTTTTCCCAGTTCTTCCCACACTGGAGCAGTGCGCTCATGCTGCTGACTGTGCCTGGGCGGGCTCGGGCTGGCCGGGTTGGTGGGTGGTGATGGGGCGGCCGAAGAGAGCAGCAATGGCGGCCGTGGGGTCGCTGGTGCGCACCAGAGACTCGCCCACCAGCACCTGGGGGGGAAGAGAGGGGGAGGGAGAGGGAGAGGGTGCAGGTGTGGAGGATAGGTGCAGGAGATGGAGGTAAGAGCAAGAAGGCGTGCGGCCCACATGGCTGTGGGGGGGAAGGGGTGGAGAGGAGGGGGTTGGTGCAGCTCGTAACAGATCAACATGAGGAACGGTGGGTTAGTGGGGCATGGCGAGGCTGGGCAAGCAGGTTGGGCAAGCAGGTTGGGCAAGCAGGTTGGGCAAGCAGGCATTGCAAGGTGCACTCACAGCATTGCAAGGTGCACTCACAGCATTGCAAGGTGCACTCACAGCATTGCAAGGTGCACTCACAGCATTGCAAGGTGCACTCACAGCATTGCAAGGTGCACTCACAGCATTGCAAGGTGCACTCACAGCATTGCAAGGTGCACTCACAGCATTGCAAGGTGCACTCACAGCATTGCAAGGTGCACTCACAGCATTGCAAGGTGCACTCACAGCATTGCAAGGTGCACTCACAGCATTGCAAGGTGCACTCACAGCATTGCAAGGTGCACTCACAGCATTGCAAGGTGCACTCACAGCATTGCAAGGTGCACTCACAGCATTGCAAGGTGCACTCACAGCATTGCAAGGTGCACTCACAGCATTGCAAGGTGCACTCACAGCATTGCAAGGTGCACTCACAGCATTGCAAGGTGCACTCACAGCATTGCAAGGTGCACTCACAGCATTGCAAGGTGCACTCACAGCATTGCAAGGTGCACTCACAGCATTGCAAGGTGCACTCACAGCATTGCAAGGTGCACTCACAGCATTGCAAGGTGCACTCACAGCATTGCAGCGTGCACTCACAGCATTGCAAGGTGCACTCACAGCATTGCAAGGTGCACTCACAGCATTGCAAGGTGCACTCACAGCATTGCAAGGTGCACTCACAGCATTGCAAGGTGCACTCACAGCATTGCAAGGTGCACTCACAGCATTGCAAGGTGCACTCACAGCATTGCAAGGTGCACTCACAGCATTGCAAGGTGCACTCACAGCATTGCAAGGTGCACTCACAGCATTGCAAGGTGCACTCACAGCATTGCAAGGTGCACTCACAGCATTGCAGCCGGCTTTTTGCACGAAGGCAACATCATGGGGAGTGAAGAGGCCTGACTCGCCCACCACCTGACTCACTCACAGCAGACCATGGGCGCATGGGGGCATGGGGAGCAGCAATACACATGAGGGGGCATGAGGGTATGGAGGGCAGCGATGGCACTGTGGAGGCTGGTTGATGCATGGTGTGCATGGTATGCATGGTGTGCATGGTGTGCATGGTGTGCATGGTGTGCATGGTGTGCATGGTGTGCATGGTATGCATGGTGTGCATGGTGTGCATGGTGTGCATGGTATGCATGGTGTGCATGTGAGAGACAAATGTCAGTGAACCTTCGCACATCCCGGCTGAACATCTTCTCTGCCCTCCTCACCATCATCCCTCCCCCCCTCGCCATCATGCGTCCCCCCTCACCATGATTCCTCTCTCCCGGATGGCAGCACCCCTCTCCCCCGCCAGCAGCTGCTGCGTGTTGCCTATGTCCACCTTGAACGTGCCTGCATGCCACACCACGCCCCGTGCGCCACCCAAGGCCACGGGGGAGGGAAGGAGTTAGGCAGAGAAGGTAGGGGCATGCGGGATGTGTGCGGGCGGAGGTTGGGGAGATGCGGGTGCAAGGGGGGACCATGGCAGCACAGCATAGCAGCGCGCAGGCAAGTGCGGGAGGGCAGTGTGAGGGCGGGGCCGCACCGAGGTCGCGGTTGTTGATGCCGATGAGCGTGACGCCCTCCAGCGCCAACACGCGGTCCATCTCCCTCTCCGTGTGCACCTGGGGGGGGGGGCATGGCAGGGGGACAGGGGGGCAATGGGGACAGGGGGACAATGGGGCAGGGGAGGGACAGTGGGGAAATGGGGCAGAATGGGCAAGGTGGGGCAGGCACAAGAGTAGCGGCGCAAGGACAAAAAGACAGAGGGAGCAGGGCAGCAGGGCAGCAGGGCGGCAGGGCAGCAGCAGGGCGGCAGGGCGGCAGGGCAGCAAGGCGGCAGGGAGGGAGGCACCTCGATGAGGGCGGCCATGCCAAGCGAGTGCGTGATCTTGATGAGGTAGCGCAGGTCCTGGTCCGGCAGCACAGCGGCGATGAGCAGCACGGCGTCCGCGCCCTTGGTGCGCGCGCAGTACACCTGCCACGCGTCCACCACGAACTCCTTGCACAGCAGTGGACACGCCACTCCCGCCGCTCGGATCAGCTCCAGGTTCTCAAAGCTTCCCTGTGGGGGGCAGCAAAGGGGGGGGAGGGGAGGGCGAGGAGAGGCGTGAGGAGGAGAGTGATGGGGAAGGTGGTGGTGGTGGGCGGTTGGGTGGCGGACGGTTGGGTGGTGGGAGGGAGGTAGTGCATGGGCAATGTTGGGAGAGAGGTATGACATGCATGGCGCTTTCCATGTGAATGCTGTTGCGTGGCAGCACGGGTTGATAAGGCGAGCAGGCAGTGAGTGGCATGCACATGGATTGCAGGTGGGGGAATAGGCAGCTGGTGCGAGTGAGTGCGAGTGCGAGGGGCACCTGGAAGAACTTGGAGTCGGTGAGCACTGACAGGCACGCCGCCCCGCCCTGCTCGTACGCCTTCGCTATGCGCACCTGGAGAGGGGGGGGAATAGGAGAAAGGGGGCGCAGACAGGTAGGAGGGAGAGGGACGCAGGCAGAGGGGGGGGAAAGGCAAAGGGTGGGTGATTGCAGGTGGGTAACGCCAGAGGCAAAGCACAGTGCAGGGCGGGGCGAGCGCAATGCGAGCAGCAGCTCAGGCGAAGAGTAAAAGCGCCAGATTCGGCCAATGAATAGCAGCGCGCGGAAGTAAGGGGGGTGGAGTGAGGGGGGCCGGGAGCATGGTGGGGTGGCCGGGGCGCACAGGGTCGAAATCGGGCTGGATGACGCCGCGGCTGGGCGACGCCTTCTTCACCTCCGCGATCAGCGCCGGCACGCCCGTCTCCGCCTCGCGCGCCCGCAGCGCGCCCACGAAGTCCCGCGCGGGTGGCGCGCCCTCGAGCGCGCGCGCGAGCGCGGAGAGCGGCGTGCGCTCCTTGAACGCTGCCACCTCGCCGTCCTTGTGCCACACGATCTCCTCCAGGATGTTTCGCGGAACGTTCTCCTCCACCTTGCCCCCCACGCGGAACTGGAACGGCCCCACCATGTGCGCCGCCGCCCCGCCCGGCGGCCTCCGCCGGATGGTCACTCCGTCGCGCTCCTCCGCCGTCGCCTCCGCCTCCCGCTGCTGCTGCTCCGCCCACCCGGGCGGGGGGACGGGGATTGGGGAAGGGGCCGTTTCTGGTTCCGCTGGAGCTGGGGACGGGTCGGGGGAGGCTGAAGCGCGCAGGACTGGCAGGCGCTGGGAAGCGGGGGAGAGGGGGAAAGGGGGAAAAAGGAATTGGAAGGGACGGAGGATGGGGGGAGTTGTTAGAGGAAGGGGACAAGAGAGGCCAGTGGCGCCACTGCAGGGCGGTGCAAGGGAAGCGGATCGGGCAGCGCGGATGCAACGGGAGGAGAAGGCGGTGACGAGCTAAACGGGGGGAGCGGAAGGAGGAGGAGCGGCAACAGAAGTCGTGCGCGCGCGGAATACAAGGCGCGGGGAACGAGTGAATGCGGGCGGGGAGCGACGGACGAGAGTGATGCGCCCCGCGCGGCATGGGCGCGCGGCACGAAGTGCGCCGAGCAGAAGGCGCACTGGGCAAGCGGGACTCACACGAACGGGCTGCGCCATTGTCGAGACGCTTGTTGCGGCGGAGTGCCGCGTGGCGAGTTGGGAGCAGAGCGGGAGGGAGTGCGTGAGCGCGGTGGGCGCGCGGAGGGCGGCCATGGGAGCGCGAGGGAAGGGCGAGAGGTGCGCGCGCTGCGCGTTGCACGTGGTCGTGCAGAACGGACTAGCGCAATGAGTTGAGAAAGAGATAGGAGTTGGTGCAGTGGCGCATGAAATGCGAAATGCAATGCACGAGTGGCGGCAGCAGTGTGAAGTGAACCAAAAACCCAATCCAACCTCACCAATAATAGAGTGATCAGTTTCGCCCATTTGGTTACAATCGCCAGGATTCCTCGCTACACCCCAAACCTCGCTCCCGCGTCCTCCCCGCCATCTGTCGTGAGCGCGCGTGAGCCGACCGTTGGCGTCGTCGCGTCGCCACGCATGCTGACATCGCGCCGCCTCGCGTTGCTCCGCATGCAGATTTCCCACCCCCCTCTCCCGCGCACCTCCTCCGTGCAACTCCCACTGCCGCGCCTCCCGCTCCCCTGCGTCTCTATGCGCCATGCGCCATGTCCGCGCGTCCCCGCCCCTTGCGCCACCCTCCGCGCGCTCATCGCCTCGCAGCCGACCGCGACAAAGCGAGGGGCGCGAGGGATTGTAACAAATGGGCATGCATCAAGTGGGCATGTAACGAGTGGCTCGGTATCGCCGAGTGAGATGAGCCGTTTGGCCTCAAGACGCTTTCTTGCTGCGCGCCAATGCGCACCTGCCACCCCGCATCGCGGAATAAGGGCGTGGGACCGCGGTGAGGCCGGTGGGTACAGCGCGATGCGCGCGAGAGGCGGAAGAAGCGCAGTGGCGGGGCGAAACATCGTGGCATATGGGGTTGGGAGGGGGGAAGCGGAGAATAGAGGAGGGGAAGGGGGACGGATAGGAGGGATGGGTGACGAGGAGAGTGAGAGCGAGGGTGAGGGCGAGAGGGAGTGGTGGGAGGAGGAATTCAGTGACTCTGCAGAGGGGGAGAAATGGGCGCACGAGAGCGCAGGAGAGGGGGGAAACGACGCGCAATCGGGGGAGGAGCAGGCGGGCGCGGAAGAGGCGCGGCGGGTGGCGGTGGTGGCGTACCTGGAGGGGGAGGGCGTGGCGGCGGAGCTGCTGGAGGGCGTCGCGCTGCCGCTCGACGTGCGTGTCGTACGCGAGCGCGTGCAATTCCTGCGCGCTCTCCGCCTCGACGTCGCGGAGGTGGGTGGGAGGAGGGCGGTCCACGTGGCGGGGAGATGGGAGAAGGGCGTCATTCCGCCCCACCCCCCTGTGCATCACTTTTTTCGCTCACTACTCCTCCTCGCTGCCCCTTTTCGCCCTCTCCCCCCTCCGCCCCTCGTCCCCGCAGGTGGTGGGGCGGTATCCTCCGGTGCTGTGCGGGAGCATAGCGCGCAACTACGTGCCGGTGCTGGCGCACCTGGAGAGCATCCCCATCGCGCGCGCACACCTGCCCGCGCTGCTCACGGCGTACCCGCGCGTGCTCTTCTCCTCCGTGCGCATCGACCTGCAGCCCGTGCTGCACTACCTCACAGGCCTCGGCGTGCCGCCCGCCGCGCTGCCCTCCGTGCTGACGCGCTGCCCGCACCTGCTGGGGCTGCGGCCCGAGGGCAGCATGAGCACGAGCGTGGCGTACCTGGTGGGCGTGGGCGTGGATCCCAAGGCCGTGGGCGCCATGGTCGTGCAGCTGCCGCACCTGCTCACCATGCGCGCCGCAACCACCATCCGCCCCAAGGTCGAGCTGCTCTCACACGCCCTCGCACTGCCGCTCCCCCAGGTGGCAACGCTGCTGCAGGCGCGGCCACACCTCCTCGCACTGGACCTGCATGCCCAGCTGCACCCCGCCCTCGCCGCCCTGCGTGCTGACGGGCTCACGGTCCCGCACATGCGCGCCGCTGTCACCGCCTTCCCACACCTCCTCGCCCTGCCGCTGTCTGACCTCCTGCCGCCCACCATCCAGTGGCTCTCCTCTCACGCGCACGTGCCGCCCGCGGCCGTGGCGGGCGTGCTGGCAGGGCTGCCACAGCTGGTGGTGGCGGACAGGCGGCAAGCAGAGGGGAAGCTGCAGCGGCTGCGGGAGAGAGGGTTCTCCCAGCAGCAGGTGGACAGCGCTGCTGGTGGGATGCCCCCAGGTGCTGGGGCAGCGTGCGGACACCATTGAGAGGAAGCTTGCAATACTGCTGCAGCACAGGACGCATGCTGATGTGGTGGCCTTCCCCCCGTGCCTGGCATGCCGAGAGGAGGTGCTGGAGGAGAGGCTGGGAGCGGCGCAGGCTGCCGGGGTAAGAGGGCCGCTGGAGTGGCTGCTGGACTGCCCTCCAGAGACCTTCCATGAGCGCTTGAGGACCGAGTTTGTCGTGCTGCCACCTCCTGTGGAGGTGGTCATACAGGAGAGAGAATGATGATTCTGGGACACACACATGGGCCATGGCTTGATGTGGGAAGAATGTGCTGAGAAATATAAATGTGTCAGATGCTTGATGATGGTATTCGATTCGAGGTGCTGGCTGACTGAAACAAGCCTTGAGTCTTCATACTGAAACAGCACAGCACGTACCCCTCACACCCAGAGATACCTTCACAGAAGGCCTTAGTCAGCTGCTCTTGACAATAGTTGGGGTGTTTGTGTGCTGGCTTGGAGTGTAAATTCTTGCTTAAACGCTTTCAGTAAATTTGCAGATTTTGTAACAGTTGTGAGTCTGGTTACATCGCCGTAATTGGCGCCTTATTTGAAGCCACCTGGGGTCAACAGACTGGCGTGGCGAAGAGGAGATTCCAAGGCGCCGTCCCTCCCTCCCGCCAAGCCCTTCCCACCTCAAGCTCCCAGCACAGCAGCACCACCAGGTGCTTCGCTTCACTCGCGACTCTCTTCGCTTCACTGCTTCGCCGAGGGTGCTTCACTATGCGCCCCTGTGCTTCACTTGACTGAGCCAGAACGGAGGCATGCGCGTAAGTTTAGGCCACCAAGACTGCACGTGGAGCCAGACATTTTCCTATGCCATTTAGCGGCTTCGATTAAACTCCGTTCATCTGTCACTACTTTCTGTTTTTTCCTTCTGAACTAAATGTCATCCTCAAAACGCTCCGCGCATTTGGACCGAGTGCGCTGATTTCGCTTAGTTCACTATCCCCCTTCCCCTCGCGTCGCCTGCATCCTGGCGTCGCCGCTAGCCTCGGCGCCCGGCTCGGCGCGCTGCGATGGACGCCGTGTACGGCTTACTTTCGGGCAGCTGGCTGCTCGGCACCCCCAAGGCGCCGCCAAAACCGGAGGCAGTAGATGACGTGGACAAGCCAGTGCCCGAGGAATGGAGGTCCAAATATCCCTTCAGGTGCGCGCGCGCGCCGCTCTAGCCGGCGCTGTTGCTAGTCCGTCGCGGAATAGGCTCATCTCGTCGTAGTCGCCACGCGCAATAGTCGTCGCACCTGGCATCGGCGCGCTGTCGAGCATGACCATGCCCTTGTACATGTCCGTCCTTCGAGTCAGTTCTCGCCGCAACTGCATCCGCCAACCGCGCTCTCCCGCGCTCCCCGCTCATCACTCCCCCTGTCCGCCGTGTCGTCCGCGCGCCCCTTCCCCCGCAGAAGCGACGATCCCACGGAGCAGCGCCTGAAGCAGCTGCTGGAAGCGTACGAGGAGTCGAGCAGAGAGGTGAGGAGTGGTTCAGCGAGGTGCGATTGTAGAAATTTCAGAAGAATATGAAGGCGCACTTACGATGAGGGAATTGGGAATGAGTCTTTGTTCGACGAGTCTTCTAAGATTCAAAACTTGCGCGTCAGCTTTCACTGCTCCTGTTCCCCCCTCCTCCACCCCCTCTCCCCCTTCCCTCCAATCGCTCCCTCTGCGCGCGGCGCGCGGGCAGGGCGCGTCAGCGGCGGCGAGCGCGACGCTGCTGGTGTTCCTGTCGGCGCTCGTCGAGGCGTACGCCGACTGGTTCCCGCCGGAACCGGACCCCGACGCGCACGGTCGCGCCGATGACGCGCACGACGACGCGCACGGGGGCGACGGCGCGGAGGGCGAGGGGGAGGCGGGCGGGCAGCGGCTGGGGCACCCGCTGGAAGTGGTGCGGTGCGTGGCACGCCAGCTGGCCGAGTTTGCACGCGTGGCGAAATGTGAGTGGCTGCGGTGATGGATTGGGTGGCTTGCGTGACGGAGGTTCTGGTTGCACTGCTTGCCGTTGGTGGTGGTTCGTTCTGGTGCCTCAGGTCGGTCTCTTGCACTGCCCGCTCTGTCTCCACTCACTTCTCACTCAAATCCCTCCCTCCCTCCCTCCCTCTCACCGCCTCCCTCCATCCATCTCTCCCTCCCTCCCGCCAGCACGAGGGCCATCTGCGTCTGCAGAAAATCAATCCGCCAATCAAGATGCGCCAGGTGGCAGCGCATCAGAGGGGCAGAGCCGGTCGGCGGTGGGCAGCACGACGCTGTGGATCGCATCGCTCGCCATGGGCGCGGGCAGGGGGGCGGGGGGGGGCGCAGGGGGCGCGGGGGAGGCGGGGGAGGCGGGGGACTTGGAGGAGGAGGCGGCGGCGTGGGATCGCACGATGCTGGCGCTGCGCGCGGCGTCCATCATCTCGCGCAGCGCCCACAACCGCAAGCTGCTCGCCTTCTTCCGCTCCGTCTCCGCCGCCATCCACATCCTCTCCGGTGCAGTGCAACCCCACCCACCCATTTGACTCTCCCTGTTCCAGCTTCCTCTCTTCCTCCCATCCCACGCTCAACCCTCTCCTCTTCCCCCTCTCTTCCCCCCTACTCCCCCCTTTCCGCCAGGCATATCAGCGGACCTGCGGGTGGCAGCGGCGCCCATCATCTCCACGCCCATGCCCTCGCCGCACCCCGACCCCCCTCGCGCCACACCGGGGAGGAGCATCACCACCACCGGCACCAGCAGCAGCGGGCGGGGGGCGGGCAGTGCGTGGGGGGCAGAGTTCGGGGTCAGGCAGGCAGGGGGCGAGCGGGACGGGGATGCCACGTCAGCAGCACCTGCTGCTGCAGGCAGTGCGGGCAGGGAGGGGGGTGGGGCAGCTGGGGCAGCGGGGGCGGGGGCGCAGTGGTTGAGTGGGGAGAGGCGCAGTGTGCTGGTGGGCGTGCTGCTGAGCTGCGCCACCAACGCCCTCGCCCTGCTCGCCAACTTCCTCGACGCTGAGATGCGCCAACTCGCGCAGCACCAACCCCTCCCCCCCACCCACGCCCCGCCCTTCTCCTCCCTCGCACACTCCCCTGCGCGCGCCTCCCCCTCCCCCCGCAGGGGCGCCCCCTCCCCGGGTCTCCTGACCTCCCCCTCCGCCCGCCTGAGGGGCAGTGGGCGGAGCAGCGGCAGGTGGGGGGGGCGCGGGCTGGGTTTTGGGGAGGAGCTGGCGGGGACGGCGTGGGGGGGCAGGGCGGGGGCGCGGGGGGCGGAGGGGGAGGATGCGCTTGCTGGGATGCGCGAGGTGCGCGCCATCGTGGAGGCCGTGGAGACCAAGGGGCTCGCCGCCCTGCTCGGTGCGTGCTCATGCTCATGCTCCTCGGGGGGGATGACACGGCTGTCCCACCAGTCCCACCAGCCAGCATACACCATCCCCTATTGAATCCTCTCTCACACCACCCATTTTCCTCTGCTCACGCCACCCCATTCCACGCTGTCCACTCACCCACGCTTGTCAACCCTCCCTCTCTTGCGACTCTGTGCAGCACTCATCTCGCCACTGCGGGAGATCCAGACGAAGCGAGCCGCCCACTGCATAGAGGCGGGCGGCACGCTGCTGCTGGCGCTGCAGGTGATGCGGTCGGTGGTGTACGCGAGTGTGACCGCGCGCGCCTCCTTCATCGCCTCTCAGGGCCTGCACCACGCCCTCGACCTCATCGCCTGGCCCTCGCACCTCCTGCACTGCCACCTGTGAGCACCCCACATGCAGCAAGCGCCCTTGCTGCTCCTTGCTCTGCCAGCAGTTTGCCAGCGCCTGTTTCGCCATGCGACTCACCTCCTCTCCTCCTCGTTCGCCTCAGCTCACTCCTAATGCCTCGTTCCCCCTCCCTCTGCATCCTTGTTCCCCCCTCATCTCTGCCTGAGGAACTCTCCTACTTCTCTTTCCCCTCCGCGCCCCCCACCCCTTCCTGCTTGCTGTGTGTGCTTGTGCGTGCATGCATCCGGTCCCAGAGAGCGCATAATGGAGTTGGAGAACGATCTCTTTGAGGAGTTCAGCATTCAGCTGCTCGCCTTCTCCGTCATCCAGGAGGCCATGTACGCACTCCCACCTCTGCCCTGTGCCCACCCCCTTGCAACACTGCACCCATAATCACGCCTTTCCCCTTGTAGCTTCACCTGCCGTCCCCCTCCCTGCTCATCTCTCTACTATCTTCCGATGTGCCCTCATGCCTTCACGACTGCTTGTTGTGTGTTGGTTTCCGCCCTCAGTTCAGCCAACTGGTCTTTAAGAATTCTAAAAAAGCACCTCAATTCACCACCTCTCTCCCACTCACATGGTCCTTCTCTCATCCTTCCCTCCCTTCCTGCTCTCTCCCCTCCTCCTCTTTCCAGATTCCTGAATGCAGCAGCACTGGAGATGGTACGGGACCTACACGGCTTCCCGCGTTTCTCCGCCTTCCTGCGCTGGGCCGCCTTCCTCTTCACCAAATCCTCCTCTGAACTGCACCCCACACTCGTCCTCCCGCCACAACCCCCCCCCGCACCTGCACTGCCCGCGTCGATGTCAGTGGCGGGGGACGAGGTGGGGGGGGAGGTGGAGCTGCCGGCCATAGTGGCACGCCGGGACCCCAAGGCGCTGCTCTTCGAGGGCTCTGTGCTCGCCACGCCCTCCCGCGCCGCCTCCTCCCCCCACACCGCCGCCGCCGCTGCTGCCGCTGTCGCTGCCAATGCCGCCGCTGCCGCTGCTGCTGCTGCACGCCCATCCCTCACCCTGCCTGCGAATCTGAGGAGCGGTGGGAAGAGCAGTGGCACGAGCAGGGAGGGGGGCGGGGTTGGAGCGGTGGCAGGAGGGGGGGAGAGGTCGTGGGCGCGGGAGAAGCTGCTGGCGAGCAGCACGTTCAGGCGCGTGACGGCGGAGCGCAACAGCACGGACGAGGCGCTCATGGCGTGGAACCCCCACGCCGCCGTCGCCTGCACCGTGCTCTGCCGCTTCCTCGCTGATGCCATGCCCGCCGCCGCCCTGCGCAGGGGGCACACCTTTGGTCATGGCCACGGGCACGGGCATGGGCATGGGCATGGGGGGGGGTACGGGCAGGACATGGGTTGGGACGCGGATCCGGAGGAGTATCGAGAGCAGGCGGCGCAGTGTGTGGCGGGGGCGCTGCTGGGCGTGTTTGAGCAGCAGGTGGGTGACTGGTACGATGCAGCAGCAGGCCGCATGTTCCGCTCGCTGTCGCCCGCCCTGCAGCTCTTCACAGTGCATCAGCTGCGCCGCATCCTCGGGTCGCTCATTGCCGGGGCCGAACACTTCCGCTCCGCGCGCCTGTGGCACGCGCTGCTCTCGCCCATCTTCTTCTTCTTCGGCGCTCAAACCAGGCCGCGCCACCCGCTGCTCTCGCCGCGCCTGCTGGGCCCCAAGGCTGCTGCGCTCGCCGCCGGCACCACCCACAGCCGGTGCTGCTGCAGGCGTGGCGAGGGGAAGTGCAGGGGGGGCGGGCGGTGAGGGCCAGCAGTGGCAGGCGTTCGCAAGGACGAGCTCAGTTGGGGAGGCAGCAGCAGGGGGAGGGTCGGAGAGCGGAGCAGGTGCAGCGGAAGGAGGGTCAACCAGTGGTGGCAGTGGGGGCGGCAGCAGCAGGCACGGCGAGGCGTTGGTGGTGTTACTGGACCCATCTCTAGAATACGTGAACCTGCCGTCCTCCCCCTGACGCGGAGAGGCTACGGGGGGACATAGTGGCACTGGTGGAGCTGGCAGTATCAGTGGACATGGGCGATGGCAGCGCCACCGAGTGCGCTCTGCTGCTCGCTGCCCTCGAGGCCTGCTGCACTCACCCCAGCGCGGCAGCCCTGCTGGCCCACGCGCTGCAGCGCCTGCTGCACTCACGGGGCATTGACGCCGTCAGAGAGCTCTCTGCCGTGCCCCGCCTCGCCGCCATCATCGACCGCCAGCACGCCGCCGCCACTGCTGCTGCTCTTCCCTCCGCCACGCCCCCCCTCACCCCGTCGCAGCTCCTCCCCCCCCGTTCCGTCTCCCTCCCTGTGTCCGCCCTTCGTCCTGTGCACTCTGCATATAGCGAGGAGGGCGAGGGGGCAGCGGCGGAGTGGCAGGGCGTACGGGGGGCGGTGTTCGCCCTACTGGAGGGCGCGCTGGGGGAGTCTGATGCCGCCCTGGTGGACGCCGCTTGTGACCCCACGGTGTTCGTGCCGCTGCTGCGGCTGCTGTGGGACTCGGCCAACAGGGAGTTCGCTCTGCGAGTGCTCATCCTGCTCATGCACGCACCCTTGCTCGACCCCTCCGCGGGGCAGCCCCTGCTGGAGTGCTTCTTCGACCTCGTCTCCCATGCCGCCTCCTTCACTGGCAGCAGCAGTGCAGTGGCGGTGACGGGCGAGGAGGGGGAGGAAGGGGCGAGCAGAGACGCGGTTGGAGTGAGGCAGCAAGGGGGGGCTGGAGGGGAGGATGAGGAGGAGGAGGGGGAGAAGGGGGAGATTGGAGGGGATGGCGAAGAGGAGGTGGATACGGAAGGAGAAGGTGCAGCTGTGGATGGTCAGGGAGAGGGCGGAGAGCAAGGGGAGGAGACGGGGAGGAGAGGCGGTGCAGAGGAGGGCACAGTGGCAGCAGGGGAGGCGGGTGGCGGCAGTGGAGGGCGAGGAGGGGGCGAGGGGGGGGCAGTGGAGGGGCGGGGGGGGGAGGGTGAGCGCGCAGGCAGTGATGCTGGTGGACGACCTGCTCTCCTGCACCACCTACATCGTCTCCGACCCTCCCAACGCTGTCAGTCTGCACACTGCCGCGCCCATGAACGGATAGGCCTGCATGGGTCCATTTGTGCTAGAGTGTGAACTAACCCTCCTCATTGTCTTATGTTTCCCTTCCCCCACCCTGCATGGCCCACCCTGCACGGCCCCCCCTGCACGGCCCGCCCCGCACGGCCCCCCCTGCACGACACCAGGCATTACAGCAGCGGTGTGTGGAGGCGGGGGCGCTGCAGCACGTGCTGGCAGTGCTGGATGCGCGCTACTCGCCCGCCCACGCGCTCTCCATCACGCTCGCCGCCCTGCGCTGCCTCACCTGCCTGCTCGCCGCCAACCAGGCCGCCAAGGTCTGCCTCCCTGCCCCCCCCCCCCCTCGTTATTGTCACGGTACCTGCTGTGCTCTCGCTGCTCTCTCAGCGCCTGCTAGGTGGCTGCATGCACGACACCAACCCAGCAGCACATCGTTTTTCCATGTGCATTTGTGCGTCTGTGTGTGTGGTGGGTGCATGCATGCGTGTGTGTGCCACGGTGTGCATGGCTGGCAGGCAGCCATGGTGCGGGTGGCAGGGGCGGGGTACACGGGGCTGCAGAGGAGGATAGAGGCGCTCACAGGGGGCAGGGCGGGGCAGGAGGTGCTGGATGCCGTGCTCTGCCTCGCCACTGACGGCGCTTACACCGCCTCCGCCCTCAACACACGAGCCACCATCCAGGTGCCCTCATGCTGTTCATGCCACCTCCCTTCGCTCTCCACCTTGCAACGCAACGCACCTCACCTGTGCTTGCGCCATCCCCTTTGTACCTGCCTCCATTCCTCACCTGAAATCCTTGCTCCTCTCCAGCATATTCGTGGGTCGCCCATGCTCAACTCCCCCTGTGCTCCCATGTGCGCGTCTGTCCCTGTGTGCAGAACGGAGACGCACTCATCCTTTGGCTCTCTCTGCTGCGCACCGTATGTCCCGCCCCTCCCCATGCTTGTGTCGCACCGTATGTCCCGCCCCTCCCCATGCTTGTGTCGCACCGTATGTCCCGCCCCTCCCCATGCTTGTGTCGCACCGTATGTCCCGCCCCTCCCCATGCTTGTGTCGCACCGTATGTCCCGCCCCTCCCCATGCTTGTGTCGCACCGTATGTCCCGCCCCTCCCCATGCTTGTGTCGCACCGTATGTCCCGCCCCTCCCCATGCTTGTGTCGCACCGTATGTCCCGCCCCTCCCCATGCTTGTGTCGCACCGTATGTCCCGCCCCTCCCCATGCTTGTGTCGCACCGTATGTCCCGCCCCTCCCCATGCTTGTGTCGCACCGTATGTCCCGCCCCTCCCCATGCTTGTGTCGCACCGTATGTCCCGCCCCTCCCCATGCTTGTGTCGCACCGTATGTCCCGCCCCTCCCCATGCTTGTGTCGCACCGTATGTCCCGCCCCTCCCCATGCTTGTGTCGCACCGTATGTCCCGCCCCTCCCCATGCTTGTGTCGCACCGTATGTCCCGCCCCTCCCCATGCTTGTGTCGCACCGTATGTCCCGCCCCTCCCCATGCTTGTGTCTCCGTACTCTCGTGCCTCACTGCACCCTGCCCGTGTCTCACCTGCACACACGCTCTCCATTCTCCCTCTGCACTCCCTCCTGCCGTGTGACACATTTTGGTAAAGAAACTGTGCTTCCTTGCCTTGCTTCTCCCCCATTCCACCTCTCATCCATGATCCCTCACTCACGCACACCTCTACCCATGCCACCTGCACACGGTGCATGCAGGCGCCAGAGCGCCAGGCGGTGGGGGGGCTACAGCAGCTGCAGGCGATGCTAGCAGACTCCACAGCCTCGTGCGCCGAGTGCACACGCGCGTCCCTCATGTGGCACCTGCTGCACTGGCTCTCCACCCTCGACTCCCTCCCCCTCGCCCCTCCCCTCACAACCGCCGCCGCTCACACTGCCACTGCCATTGGCGCGTGGGGAGACGGCGGGGAGCAGCAGGAGGCGGGGGGAGCGGGGAGTGGGGAGGGAGGGGGAAGGGAGGGTGTGGTGGCGGCGGTGGCGCTGCTGGTGGAGACGATGGGGCGGCACAGCATGAGTGGCAAGGAGATCACGGCTGTGTTCCACCTGCTGCGCCAGGCGGGGGCGGGCAGCCGAGCCAGACACGCATCGCTGCTGCTGCGCACGCTGCTGGGCGCCATCAAGGACGAGGGGCCCTCTGGCTTCTTTGAACTCAATGGCGTTGACTCCGTGAGCGCTCCTTGTTATCTTCGTTCCTCATTCCCCATGCCCCACTGTGAAACAAGCATGGCTATTGGCATCTCCACACCTCTTCACCAACTCTCTGTCCCCCATTATCCCCTCCTCTCCCTTCCTCCCGGTGCTCCCGTTCTGCCAGGGATTCAAGCTGCCCTCTGACCTGCGGTTCCCCGGGCCAAGGGGCTACACGGTGGTGTGTTGGCTGCGCATAGAGGCCTTCCCCATGCCGCCCGCCTCCGCCTTCCCCGGCTCCCCCCCCGCCAACCCCTGGGCGTTTGACGCGGAGGGGCGTCTAGAGGACGCGGAGGGCGGGGCGCGGGGGGGCGGGGAGGCGAGCAGAGAGGGCGCCATGGCGCTGTTCAGCTTCCTCACTGACCTGGGCGTGGGGTGCAGCGCCTTCCTCACCCCCGATGACGTGCTCCTGCATGTACACGCCCTCCCCCTCCCATCCTCTCCGCTCTTGCATTCCATGCACCCCTGCGCTTGTGCGTGCTTGCACATGCCGCTGCCTGCTGTGCTCACCTTCGGCCTTTTGAGTCGACTCAAAAGCTGCTGTGCTCACCTTCGGCCTTTTGAGTCGACTCAAAAGCTGCTGTGCTCACCTTCGGCCTTTTGAGTCGACTCAAAAGCTGCTGTGCTCACCGTTGGCCTTTTGAGTCGACTCAAAAGCTGCTGTGCTCACCTTCGGCCTTTTGAGTCGACTCAAAAGCTGCTGTGCTCACCTTCGGCCTTTTGAGTCGACTCAAAAGCTGCTGTGCTCACCGTTGGCCTTTTGAGTCGACTCAAAAGCTGCTGTGCTCACCGTTGGCCTTTTGAGTCGACTCAAAAGCTGTTGTGCTCACCTTCGGCCTTTTGAGTCGACTCAAAAGCTGCTGTGCTCACCTTCGGCCTTTTGAGTCGACTCAAAAGCTGCTGTGCTCACCTTCGGCCTTTTGAGTCGACTCAAAAGCTGCTGTGCTCACCGTTGGCCTTTTGAGTCGACTCAAAAGCTGCTGTGCTCACCGTTGGCCTTTTGAGTCGACTCAAAAGCTGCTGTGCTCACCGTTGGCCTTTTGAGTCGACTCAAAAGCTGCTGTGCTCACCGTTGGCCTTTTGAGTCGACTCAAAAGCTGCTGTGCTCACCGTTGGCCTTTTGAGTCGACTCAAAAGCTGCTGTGCTCACCGTTGGCCTTTTGAGTCGACTCAAAAGCTGCTGTGCTCACCGTTGGCCTTTTGAGTCGACTCAAAAGCTGCTGTGCTCACCGTTGGCCTTTTGAGTCGACTCAAAAGCTGCTGTGCTTCACCGTTGGCCTTTTGAGTCGACTCAAAAGCTGCTGTGCTCACCGTTGGCCTTTTGAGTCGACTCAAAAGCTGCTGTGCTCACCGTTGGCCTTTTGAGTCGACTCAAAAGCTGCTGTGCTCACCTTCGGCCTTTTGAGTCGACTCAAAAGCTGCTGTGCTCACCGTTGGCCTTTTGAGTCGACTCAAAAGCTGCTGTGCTCACCGTTGGCCTTTTGAGTCGACTCAAAAGCTGCTGTGCTCACCGTTGGCCTTTTGAGTCGACTCAAAAGCTGCTGTGCTCACCGTTGGCCTTTTGAGTCGACTCAAAAGCTGCTGTGCTCACCGTTGGCCTTTTGAGTCGACTCAAAAGCTGCTGTGCTCACCGTTGGCCTTTTGAGTCGACTCAAAAGCTGCTGTGCTCACCGTTGGCCTTTTGAGTCGACTCAAAAGCTGCTGTGCTCACCGTTGGCCTTTTGAGTCGACTCAAAAGCTGCTGTGCTCACCGTTGGCCTTTTGAGTCGACTCAAAAGCTGCTGTGCTCACCGTTGGCCTTTTGAGTCGACTCAAAAGCTGCTGTGCTCACCGTTGGCCTTTTGAGTCGACTCAAAAGCTGCTGTGCTCACCGTTGGCCTTTTGAGTCGACTCAAAAGCTGCTGTGCTTACCGTTGGCCTTTTGAGTCGACTCAAAAGCTGCTGTGCTCACCGTTGGCCTTTTGAGTCGACTCAAAAGCTGCTGTGCTCACCGTTGGCCTTTTGAGTCGACTCAAAAGCTGCTGTGCTCACCGTTGGCCTTTTGAGTCGACTCAAAAGCTGCTGTGCTCACCGTTGGCCTTTTGAGTCGACTCAAAAGCTGCTGTGCTCACCGTTGGCCTTTTGAGTCGACTCAAAAGCTGCTGTGCTCACCGTTGGCCTTTTGAGTCGACTCAAAAGCTGCTGTGCTCACCGTTCGGCCTTTTGAGTCGACTCAAAAGCTGCTGTGCTCACCGTTCGGCCTTTTGAGTCGACTCAAAAGCTGCTGTGCTCACCGTTCGGCCTTTTGAGTCGACTCAAAAGCTGCTGTGCTCACCGTTGGCCTTTTGAGTCGACTCAAAAGCTGCTGTGCTCACCGTTGGCCTTTTGAGTCGACTCAAAAGCTGCTGTGCTCACCGTTGGCCTTTTGAGTCGACTCAAAAGCTGCTGTGCTCACCTTCGGCCTTTTGAGTCGACTCAAAAGCTGCTGTGCTCACCTTCGGCCTTTTGAGTCGACTCAAAAGCTGCTGTGCTCACCTTCGGCCTTTTGAGTCGACTTCAAAAGCTGCTGTGCTCACCTTCGGCCTTTTGAGTCGACTCAAAAGCTGCTGTGCTCACCTTCAGCCTTTTGAGTCGACTCAAAAGCTGCTGTGCTCACCTTCGGCCTTTTGAGTCGACTCAAAAGCTGCTGTGCTCACCTTCGGCCTTTTGAGTCGACTCAAAAGCTGCTGTGCTCACCTTCGGCCTTTTGAGTCGACTCAAAAGCTGCTGTGCTCACCGTTGGCCTTTTGAGCCGACTCAAAAGCTGCTGTGCTCACCGTTGGCCTTTTGAGTCGACTCAAAAGCTGCTGTGCTCACCTTCGGCCTTTTGAGTCGACTCTAAAGCTGCTGTGCTCACCTTCGGCCTTTTGAGTCGACTCAAAAGCTGCTGTGCTCACCTTCGGCCTTTTGAGTCGACTCAAAAGCTGCTGTGCTCACCTTCGGCCTTTTGAGTCGACTCAAAAGCTGCTGTGCTCACCTTCGGCCTTTTGAGTCGACTCAAAAGCTGCTGTGCTCACCTTCGGCCTTTTGAGTCGACTCAAAAGCTGCTGTGCTCACCTTCGGCCTTTTGAGTCGACTCAAAAGCTGCTGTGCTCACCTTCGGCCTTTTGAGTCGACTCAAAAGCTGCTGTGCTCACCTTCGGCCTTTTGAGTCGACTCAAAAGCTGCTGTGCTCACCTTCGGCCTTTTGAGTCGACTCAAAAGCTGCTGTGCTCACCTTCGGCCTTTTGAGTCGACTCAAAAGCTGCTGTGCTCACCTTCGGCCTTTTGAGTCGACTCAAAAGCTGCTGTGCTCACCTTCGGCCTTTTGAGTCGACTCAAAAGCTGCTGTGCTCACCTTCGGCCTTTTGAGTCGACTCAAAAGCTGCTGTGCTCACCTTCGGCCTTTTGAGTCGACTCTAAAGCTGCTGTGCTCACCTTCGGCCTTTTGAGTCGACTCAAAAGCTGCTGTGCTCACCTTCGGCCTTTTGAGTCGACTCAAAAGCTGCTGTGCTCACCTTCGGCCTTTTGAGTCGACTCAAAAGCTGCTGTGCTCACCGTTGGCCTTTTGAGTCGACTCAAAAGCTGCTGTGCTCACCGTTGGCCTTTTGAGTCGACTCAAAAGCTGCTGTGCTCACCGTTGGCCTTTTGAGTCGACTCAAAAGCTGCTGTGCTCACCGTTGGCCTTTTGAGTCGACTCAAAAGCTGCTGTGCTCACCGTTGGCCTTTTGAGTCGACTCAAAAGCTGCTGTGCTCACCGTTGGCCTTTTGAGTCGACTCAAAAGCTGCTGTGCTCACCGTTGGCCTTTTGAGTCGACTCAAAAGCTGCTGTGCTCACCGTTGGCCTTTTGAGTCGACTCTAAAGCTGCTGTGCTCACCGTTGGCCTTTTGAGTCGACTCAAAAGCTGCTGTGCTCACCGTTGGCCTTTTGAGTCGACTCAAAAGCTGCTGTGCTCACCGTTGGCCTTTTGAGTCGACTCAAAAGCTGCTGTGCTCACCGTTGGCCTTTTGAGTCGACTCAAAAGCTGCTGTGCTCACCGTTGGCCTTTTGAGTCGACTCAAAAGCTGCTGTGCTCACCGTTGGCCTTTTGAGTCGACTCAAAAGCTGCTGTGCTCACCGTTGGCCTTTTGAGTCGACTCAAAAGCTGCTGTGCTCACCGTTGGCCTTCCATCTTCACACCGTTGGCCTTCCATCTTCACACCAAGCCTCAATTCCCGATCACTCTTTATTTATTCATCAAACTCCGAGCTATTCCCCATTCATTCACCACCCCATTCCCCCTCCCTTCCCTGTGCTGCACTTGTGGCACACACATGACACCAGGTGGGCGGAGCAGCAGCGCGGGAGGCGGTGGTGGGGTTACCACACGAGTTGCGCCTCAAGTGCTGGCACCACGTGGCCATCACCCACTGCCGCTCCCACCTTCGCTGCCCCCAGCACCGTGCGCCTCTTCGTTGACGGCCGCCTCGTCGCCTCCTCCCGCGCCAGGTGGGTGGCCTACAAGGGAGTGCACAGCTGCAGGGGGGTGCAGTGGAGCAGGGCCGTGAATTGCATTGGGTCCAACTGCCGTTCCGTATGCCCACTGTTACTTGGGCCACTATGACAGCGCCACGAATCTTAGGACAAAGTAACACACTCAACGCCCCTCATCCGCCCCGTTTCTTCCCTTCCCTTCCTCCTCCACTCACCCTTACCCTACCCATCCTGCCGCAGCTTCCCCCGCATCTACGACCCGCTAACGCGCTGCACCATAGCATCATGGGCACCACTGCCCCAGGCAGTCCCCCCACGCGCGCACGCCACTGGACGACGATGACGACCCGGCCTCGCTCTCCATGGCGCCGCCTCTCTGCGGCCAGCTGGGCGCGCTCCACGTGCTCGACGACCCACTCTCCCCCGACCAGGTCGCCGCTCTGCACCGCTTGGGACCGCGCCACGCGCACTCCTTCCTGCCGTGCGAGCTCTCGCTCCTGCTCGGATCCGCCGACCCCCCCGTGCGCGCGCTCTTTGACGGCAAGGACTGCCTTGCGCCGCGCCTCACTGTCAGCCTCACGGCTCACGCCACGGCGGGGGGAGTGGTGCTGGACGCGACGCCTTTCTGGGAGCAGCAGGGAGGGAGTGGTGGTGCACGGCGCGTGTGCGACGCGGTGATGCTGCCCGGCGTGCAGGTGTGCCAGCGGCACCGGCTGCAGGACGTGCTGTCATGCGTGGGCGGCGTGGCCGTGCTCTTCCCCCTCCTCACCCAACTCGACAGCGACGACGACTCCTGTGCTGCCGGGTCAGAAGGCGAGGGCGAGGAGGAGGGGCGGTGGGAGGCGGGGGGGACGCATGTGGCGGTGGACGTGGTGTGTCTGCTCACGGAGGTGCTGGCGGGCAGTGCAGCGGCGGGGCAGTTCATGGTGGGCGTGGGGGGATTCTCTGTGCTCAGCTTCCTGCTGCAACACGTGCACCCCCGCCACCTCACCGTCAGCCTTGTACTCTCCATTGAAAGCCTCACTAATAGCATTGCTGCCGAGCAGGGTAAGAGAACAAAAGGCTCAGTCAGATACTTGCAACAATCATGCCTGGGCGTTTCACGCTGTTGAGAGAGCACTCGCATCTAACCATAGGTGCTGCGAACCTGTGCTCATCCTTCCGCATTCAATCCCTTGCCACCCTCTCTCCCGTCCCCTCTCCCTCCCCAGACGGCTTGATGGCGGAACAGCTGACGCGGTCGGCATGGAGTGAGCTGTACCTGGAGCTATCGCTCTGGATCTACGCGCCCTACACCGTGCAGCGCGAGCTCCTTGAGTCCTTACTGCGCCAGGTGGACCGCAGCCCTGCACTGCTCCCCGCCGTGTGCCCGCTGCCTCGCCTGCTGGACCTGCTGCGCCGCTTCTACTGGCACGTGCCGCACGGCCGCTCCGTCGCCGGCCTCAAGCCCCTCGTGCACGCCACGTCGCGTGTTGTGATTGGCCGGCGCCCTGACAACGCTGACGTGGCGAAGCTGAGGCTGCTGCTGCTGAGGCTGGCGGAGTACAGCGTGAGGTGAGGCGGCAGGGCAGGGTGCGTGGGGGAGAGGAGGATGAAGAGATGTTGGGCGGTGTTGCTGTGGCGTGTCTCTATTTCCTCCACTTTCTACTTAGTCCTGAGCGCTCCATACTGCACCTTGCACCTATATGACATGCATCCCATGTGTGAGGTGAGCCTGCCCTGCTCTCCCCACCACCAGGGATGGCTTCTCACTGGCTGATGTGAGGGCGCTAGCAGCGTTTCTGGAGGGCAGCAAGGACGCCCCCAGCGTGCGCGACGTGCTGCTCGCACTGCTCTCACTGCTCTCACGGCCACCGCTGCTCGCGTCCTTCACCTCGCACGTCTACTCCCTCACCGGCTGTCATCTCTTCCTCAACCTCCTCGCCAGGTCCGTTCCCCCAAACGTTCGTACCTCGTAGCTAGGTCCGTACCTCAGGGTAGCATTGTTGTTGCTTGCTGCCGCACTGCATGACTAATTGCATCGCTGCCCGGCGCTCCGCTCCCTCTCCCCCTTTGCTCTCTTTCCTTCCCTCTCACAGGCCAGAGGAGGATCTGCAGTCACTCGGCCTGCGTCTCATCACAGCACTGCAGGCAGAGCGCCGCCTGCGCCTCATCCGCGCCTTCTCCTCCTCCCCCGCACCCTCCCCCTCGCCCTCCGCCACCCCCGCGCCCATCCCCGACGACCTAGTAGCGGCTGCCCTGCTGCACACGCCCTCGCCCTCGCCCTCCGCGTCAGCTCTCTCAGGCGGTGCGCTGCCATCCCCCGGGCATGGGGGGGGAGGGGAGCGCGTGAGGGAGGACGTGGAGCAGGCGGAGGCGATGGTGGGCGTGGCGCTGCAGCTGATGGTGCAGCGCTGCGTGCCGTGTCACGCCCCTCATGCACTCCATCCTCTTCGACCTCCTGCTCGCCCGCCCCCTCCCCAAACCTGTAAGCGCCACACCTATTACAACCATGCCTGTGAGCCCCAAGCCTGTGAGCCCCAAGCCTGTGAATCAAAGGACAGCTATGTGCAGTCACTGAGTGACTGAAGTGTATTGCCCATGTGCGTAGAATTTGCCTTTTCTTCCCTACCCCTTTTACACCCCACCTTCTCGTCTCTCAAGCATTTTATACCTCTGCAACCCCCTCCCTCGTCCCCTCCCGCAGATGCCTCACCGCACGAGCACGGTGTTCGCCCACCACGCCCCGCTGAGCCCCCTGCACGCCTCCCCCTCCATGCGCCTGCACTCCCCCGCCGCCTCGCTCTCCTCCTCCTCCTCCTCCCTCGCCTACCCCTCCGACCTCTCCTCCTCGCACGCCACGCTCCCCCCCGCCTCCCTGGACCTGCCCGCGAGTGTTCATAGTGCCCGAGGCCGTGGGGCTGCTGCTGCCGCTGCTGGCGGGGGGGCGTGCGGAGGGGGGCGTGGCGGGGGCGGCAATGAAGGAGCTGGCGGACCTCGTTGTGGGCAACGCTGTCAACCCCCGCCTGCTGCTGCAGGTGGGTGGGGGGCGTATGCAAAGGGGCGTGGAATGGACGTGTGCTTGTGCATCCCCAAAACGTATTGTCTACTGCTGCTGTGTCACAATCACAGCTACTGCTGCCAGCCAGCGCTGCTCCCACCAGCCAGCCTCGTGTTATGCTGCCTCCTGCTTCCCCCCTGCCTTCCCCCCTGCCCTCCACCCAACAGCAAAAGGGGTGGCAAGTGGATCTGATGGCTCTGCTGGCGCTCATGCGCTCACGCCTCTCCCCGCCCTCCCCCCCCACCGCCACCACCACCGCCACTGCCACCGCCACTACCACTCCCACTGGCACGAGCAGCAGCGGTGCACAGGGCAAGGGGCCGCAGGCAGCGAACGGGTGGAGTGGGGCGAGGAAGGGGGGGCGGGGGAGCGAGGGGGAGGTGGGGGAGGAGGAGTTGGAGGAGGCGGAGGTGGTGTGGGAGCAGGTGCGGCGGCTGCTGCTGGCCACACACGCACACGCACTGCAGCACAGCAGCACCGGCTGGCAGCACGTGGCTGACACCGTTGGCGCCCTCCGCATGTTCGCCCAGCAGGTGAGCAAAATGTGCACTGCGAATTGCCACCCTTCTCTTTGATAATTCATGGCTTTCCATACACTCGTGGCAGTCAGACGTCTTTCTCATCTCCATTCTCTCCCTCCTCCCCCCCTTCCTAACCCACCCCTCTCCCAGGGCAAGCTACCGTACCACGTGGTGCTGCGCCCGCTGCTGGCGGAGCTCATCACGGTGCAATCAGGGCTCTCCTCACGGGGCGGCGCAGCGCGCAACAACTGTCTCTTCCTCTTTGCACTCATAGACGAGTTCGCCCTGCATGACTCGCGCCACATCTTCCCTGTGAGCCCTGCATGACTCGCGCCACATCTTCCCTGTGAGCCCTGCATGACTCGCGCCACATCTTCCCTGTGAGCCACCCTTCCTGCCTGCACACTCCCACGCACCCCTCCTCACTCCAGTCCTCAAACCTCCCACTCGTCCATCACTCTCTCTCCCACCAACCCTGCCTCCCCTGCCCTATCCATCAATATACCCTTCTCCTCATTCTCCTCACCCCCGATTCCCCTCCCCCACCCCCCACCAGGCGAAGGAGCTGATGACAGCGGGCGTGGGGGAGGCGGTAGACGGCCTGGCGGGCATCACCACGCCGCGCTCCCACGCCCCCCACGCCACCCACGCGCCCTCCACTCCCCTCTCCCCGCCCCACTCCTCCTCGCCCCCCCTCTGGCACTCCAGCGGAGGGGGAAGGGGGAACGGGGAGATGGAGGGGAACTGGCGCAATGGGGGGGGTGGGGGAAGGGCGGGGCTGGGGAGGCTGACATGGGCGCACGCCCCCATGGGGTCCATGCGCTGGGGGCCGCACAGGGCAGTGGTGGGGGCGTGGGACGAGGGGGACGAGGGGGATGAGGGGGAGGAGGAGGGTGTGGGGGGGCGAGCAGGGCAGAGCGGGCAGAGAGGCAGTGGTGGGGTGTATGGGGGGGATGATGGTGCTATGCGCCCGCTCACTCCGCCAGGGCTAGCAGTGCCCTTGACCCCGCCTGGCATGAGTCCCTTGGGAGGCGCTGGCAGGGGTTTTTTCACCCCTGATATTACTGGTGCACAGGAGATAAGCGGTGCAGAGCGGTTCAGCACGATGAGCCTGGACGTGCAGGGTGCGCGCAGCCCTGGGGATGCTGACTTGCTGACGACCAGCGTTGACCTGGTTGACTGCAGCGTTGACCTTGGGGACTCCAGTGGAGTGGGAGAAGGAGGGGCGGAGGGCGAAGTGGGAGCGAGAGGGGCGGAGGGGCAGCTTGCCACGGTGGGGGCGGAAGGGGAGGAGAAGGGGAGGGAAGGGGGTGGCAGAGCGGAGGAGGACAAGAGCTGGCACCTTTGGGATCAGTGAGTCCCTGGCTTGCATGTGCGGTTGTGCGCTGGGGTGTGTATACGTGCATGCACACAGAACAGAGGAGTGGTCGTGTGCGGAGATGGATGGGGGTGGGCGGGTATCTGCTGCACTCCCCTTGCTGCACCGCTCTTCCTGCCCCAACACACACTGCTCCCATCATCCGCCTCACCACGCCACCCCCCTCCGCCCCTTGTGTTGTGTCCCCAGGCTACTGCAAGCGGGCGACAGTGAGTTCAAGTGGAAGGCATACGACGGCTTCTGGGCGCTGCTAGCTCTGCTGCACAACAAGGCCGACGCCGCCGCCGCCCTCTCTGCCGGCCTCTTCCGCTCGCTCCCCCGCTCCGCCTCCACCACCGCCCTCCCCCTCTCCCGCCTGCGCGCCCTCGCCCCGCCCTCGCCCTCCCGCACCGACCTGGACGCTGCTCTGGAGGGCGATGGGGGCGGCCACTGGGGGTGCAGCACGGAGGAGCGGCTGGAGCAGCTGGGGAAGGAGAAGTGCCCGCGCGTGGTGTTCCGCCTCGTGCTGCTCTACGTGTACGACGCGGGGTTAGACGCGCTGCAGCGCTGCCTGCACCACTTCACCGTGCTCGTGCCCGTCATGCTGGCGGACGGCAGCGATGGTAACAGCGACTGGCACCGCAACCGCTTCCACCTCTTCCTCTGGTCGCTGCTGCACGCGCACGACGCCGTGGGGCACATGGAGGAGGGGTCGCGCGGGGAGGTGATCGCGCAGGGCGTGCACGACGTGGTGGTGTCGGCCGCTGCTGTGTTCGCGCAGCCCATGAAGGGCCCGATGCGTGCGACGCCCAGCAGCTCGGGGTCGGAGGAGGATGACGACTTGGAGGCCGCCAGACACCTCGTGCAGCAGCAGAGGGTCGACGCTGCTGTCAGTGCCGCCCGCCCCTGATACACTCAGCAATGAGTCACCTCCCACCCATTTCGTGCATACTCTAAGCCCTGCCTGCCTTCGCACCCTCCGTTGCTTAACCGCCCTCTCGTGGTCTTCACCTCTTTCCCTCTCTCCCGTCTTCATGCGTTTTCCCTCGGCAGGTGGAGGAGGAGATAGGGCACATGCTGTCAGCGGTGGCACAGTGGGACGCAGAGCTGTCACACGCACGGCAGGCACACGAGGCGGTGAGGGCGCAGAGGGTGCGGCAGCAGCGGGCCTTCCAGGAGCTGCAGCGCATCGCCCTCGCCGACCTGCTCCACGCTGACAGCCGCCGCCGCGCTGCCGCCCGCATCGCGTACGACGAGCAGCAGGAGCGCGTCAAGGCCGTGTGGGAGCAGCTGTATCGGGAGATGACGAGCGAGCGAGGGCCGTGGTACTCGCCCCCCTCGCCCTCCGCCGCCTCCTCGCTCTCCTCCCTCTCGCCTGGCGCCACGCCCCCTGCCTCAGCCGCGGTGCAGCGGTGGAAGCTGGACAAGAGTGAGGACGCCCAGCGCCGCCGCTTCCGCCTGCGCCCCCACCTGCGCTTCGACGATGCCATGTGCCGGCCAGCCCTCGACGCCAGCAAGCCCACAGGCGCAGGGGGAGAGGGCGCAGGAGGAGCAGGTGCAGAGGGGAAAGAGGAGGGAGGCGATGGGGAGCCGGGGAGGGACGTGCGGGTGAAGGCGGCGGCAGTGGCGGTGGCAGGGAGGGAGGGGGGAGCGGGGGCGGGTGAGGAGGGAGGGGAGATTCGGGTAGAGAAGGATTTACTGGAGGAGGTGGCGATGCTGCAGGAGGAGCATAAGAGCGCCCAGGAGGGCGCGGCAGGGGCAGGGGGAGCTGGCGCAGGGGCCGGTGGGGGAGGGGAGGTGGCTGTGCGGTCGAGTGGGATGCAGCTGGGTCTGCGATTCGAGTCTGACGATGAGGTGCGCCTCTTCACCCTGCATATTGACATGCCCATGCTCGTGCACTGCCTCTACTCATGCTGGGACCTCAACTCAATCCATTGTCACCAAACCCGACCCCTGTCGCCATACTGCCCTCGCCACACCCCTCCTTCCCCCTGCCCGACACCCTTCCCCCGTTCCTCCTCTGCCAACCTCCCCTCACGCACTCCCTCATCCACCCCAACCCCTCCCCCACCATGCATCCCCTCCCCATAGGTAATAACGAGCCTCCCATGCATAATGGTGACGGCCAAGCGCAAGCTAGGAGGGCGCATGGAGCTGAGGCGGCGCTCGCTGCACTTCTTCGCCGACTTTGTCTTTGAGGGCACCGCCGGCTCCTCTCTCTTCGACCCCGACGGCCGCCTGCGCCCACCGCACAGCGTGCGGGGGGAGGCGGATCGCGGCGGGGCGAAGGTGGGCCCGCGGGAGCGGTGGCGGCGCGTGACGCAGCGGCTGCTGCTGGTGGCGAAGCTACAGCCCACGGAGAAGACGCTGGGGCGCGCGAGTGTGCGCATGGCCAAGGACCCCGATGTCCTGGAGGAGGTCAAGATGCACCGCCAGTGGCCCCTGCACGAGGTGAGGTGGCTTTTTTCCGGCCAGTGGCCCCTGCACGAGGTGAGGTGGCTTTTTTCCGGCCAGTGGCCCCTGCACGAGGTGAGGTGGCTTTGCTCCATGCTGCATGTATGCGCTATTGTGATAGTCTCATAGGTGCCTGCAAGACCCACCGGCACTCTTGGGAGATTGAGCGACGCTGAGCTTGCTTCCGCAGCCCCTGCCATCACTTGCCACCTCTTGGCTAATCAGCGTATGAGCGTCCGGTGCAGCGTATGAGCGTGCGGTGCAGTGTATGAGCGGGCTGTGCAGCGTATGAGCATGCGGTGCAGCGTATGAGCGTGCCGTGCAGCGTATGAGCGTGCGGTGCAGCGTATGAGCGGGCGGTGCAGCGTATGAGCGTGCGGTGCAGCGTATGAGCGTGCGGTGCAGCGTATGAGCGTGCGGTGCAGCGTATGAGCGGGCTGTGCAGCGTATGAGCGTGCGGTGCAGCGTATGAGCGTGCGGTGCAGCGTATGAGCGTGCGGTGCAGCGTATGAGCGGGCTGTGCAGCGTATGAGCGTGCGGTGCAGCGTATGAGCGTGCGGTGCAGCGTATGAGCGGGCGGTGCAGCGTATGAGCGGGCGGTGCAGCGTATGAGCGGGCGGTGCAGCGTATAGCGTGCGGTGCAGCGTATCAGCGTGCGGTGCAGCGTATGAGCGGGCGGTGCAGCGTATGAGCGTGCGGTGCAGCGTATGAGCGTGCGGTGCAGCGTATGAGCGTGCGGTGCAGCGTATGAGCGTGCGGTGCAGCGTATGAGCGTGCGGTGCAGCGTATCAGCGTGCAGTGCAGCGTATGAGCGGGCGGTGCAGCGTGAGCGGGCGGTGCAGCGTGAGCGTGCGGTGCAGCGTATGAGCGTGCGGTGCAGCGTATGAACGTGCGGTGCAGCGTATGAGCATGCGGTGCAGCGTATGAGCGTGCGGTGCAGCGTATGAGCGTGTGGTGCAGCGTATGAGCGTGCGGTGCAGCGTATGAGCGTGCGGTGCAGCGTATCAGCGGGCGGTGCAGCGTATGAGCGGGCGGTGCGGCGTATGAGCGTGCGGTGCAGCGTATGAGCGTGCGGTGCAGCGTATGAGCGGGCGGTGCAGCGTATGAGCGGGCTGTGCAGCGTATGAGCGTGCGGTGCAGCGTATGAGCGTGCGGTGCAGCGTATGAGCGTGCGGTGCAGCGTATGAGCGTGCGGTGCAGCGTATGAGCGGGCTGTGCAGCGTATGAGCGTGCGGTGCAGCGTATGAGCGTGCGGTGCAGCGTATGAGCGTGCGGTGCAGCGTATGAGCGGACTGTGCAGCTTATGAGCGGGCGGTGCAGCGTATGAGCGTGCGGTGAAGCGTATGAGCGGGCGGTGCAGCGTATGAGCGGGCTGTGCAGCGTATGAGCGGGCTGTGCAGCGTATGAGCGGGCTGTGCAGGGTATGAGCGTGCGGTGCAGCGTATGAGCGTGCGGTGCAGCGTATGAGCAGGCGGTGCAGCGTATGAGCGTGCGGTGCAGCGTATGAGCGTGCGGTGCAGCGTATGAGCGTGCGGTGCAGCGTATGAGCGGGCGGTGCAGCGTATGAGCGTGCGGTTCAGCGTATGAGCGTGCGGTGCAGCGTATGAGCGGGCGGTGCAGCGTATGAGCGGGCGGTGCAGCGTATGAGCGGGCGGTGCAGCGTATGAGCGTGCGGTGCAGCGTATGAGCGGGCTGTGCAGCGTATGAGCGTGCGGTGCAGCATATGAGCGTGCGGTGCAGCGTATGAGCGTGCGGTGCAGCGTATGAGCGTGCGGTGCAGCGTATGAGCGTGCGGTGCAGCGTATGAGCGTGCGGTGCAGCGTATGAGCGGGCAGTGCAGCGTATGAGCGGGCGGTGCAGCGTATGAGCGGGCGGTGCAGCGTATGAGCGTGCGGTGCAGCGTATGAGCGGGCTGTGCAGCGTATGAGCGTGCGGTGCAGCGTATGAGCGTGCGGTGCAGCGTATGAGCGTGCGGTGCAGCGTATGAGCGTGCGGTGCAGCGTATGAGCGGGCGGTGCAGCGTATGAGCGGGCGGTGCAGCGTATGAGCGTGCGGTGCAGCGTATGAGCGTGCGGTGCAGCGTATGAGCGGGCGGTGCAGCGTATGAGCGGACTGTACAGCGTATGAGCGTGCGGTGCAGCGTATGAGCGTGTGGTGCAGCGTATGAGCGTGCGGTGCAGCGTATGAGCGTGCGGTGCAGCGTATGAGCGGGCTGCGCAGCGTATAAGCGTGCGATGCAGCGTATGAGCGTGCGGTGCAGCGTATGAGCGGGCGGTGCAGCGTATGAGCGGGCTGTGCAGCGTATGAGCGTGCAGTGCAGCGTATGAGTGGGCGGTGCAGCGTATGAGCGTGCGGTGCAGCGTATGAGCGTGCGGTGCAGCGTATGAGCGGGCTGTGCAGCGTATGAGCGTGCGATACAGCGTATGAGCGTGCGGTGCAGCGTATGAGCGTGCGGTGCAGCGTATGAGCGGGCGGTGCAGCGGATGAGCGGGCGGTGCAGCATATGAGCGTGCGGTGCAGCGTATGAGCGGGCGGTGCAGCGTATGAGCGGGCTGTGCAGCGTATGAGCGGGCGGTGCAGCGTATGAGCGTGCGGTGCAGCGTATGAGCGGGCGGTGCAGAGTATGAGCGGGCGGTGCAGCGTATGAGCGGGCGGTGCAGCGTATGAGCGGGCTGTGCAGCGTATGAGCGGGCTGTGCAGCATATGAGCGTGCGGAGCAGCGTATGAGCGGGCGGTGCAGCGTATGAGCGGGCTGTGCAGCGTATGAGCGTGCGGTGCAGCGTATGAGCATGCGGTGCAGCGTATGAGCGTGCGGTGCAGCGTATGAGCGGGCGGTGCAGCGTATGAGCGTGCGGTGCAGCGTATGAGCGTGCGGTGCAGCGTATGAGCGGGCGGTGCAGCGTATGAGCGGGCGGTGCAGCGTATGAGCGGGCTGTGCAGCGTATGAGCGTGCCCTTCTCTCCTTCCCATCCTCCCTGTTCTCAACTGACCCCACCCCACTTCTCACTATTGATCCCACTTCCCCCACCCCCAGCTGCGCCTCATCCGAGTAACGCGCTTCCTCCTGCGCTACACGGCCCTCGAGCTCTCCTTCACCTCCCCCGCCGCCCGCCCCCCAGCGCTCTTCACCTTCGCCTCGCCGCGCCTGGCAGCCGATTTCGCGGCCAAGATGGCGGCCGTGGCCAACGCCACGGCCCGGTCCACGCGCGCACGCGAGGAGCACGTGATGGTGGTGGACCGCCGCCGCGCCCTGGACCGCGCCGAGAAGGCGGCAGCGGCGTGGCGGCGGCGCGAGCTGAGCAATTTTGAGTACCTCATGGTGCTGAACACGCTGGCGGGGCGCACATACAACGACCTGGCGCAGTACCCCGTGTTCCCGTGGGTGATCGCCGACTATGAGAGCCAGCAGCTGGACCTGCACAGCGAGAGCACCTTCCGTGACCTGGGCAAGCCCGTGGGCGCGCTCAATGCCAAGCGCCTTGAGGTGCGTCGTGTGGTGGGGTGAAGTGGCACAATGGCGTGCTATTGCTTTGCTCGTATGGCATGTGTGCTGCTGCTTGATTGCTGGGGGTGGTTGAAAAAAAGTCAATATTAGCTTGGTTGTGGTGGTGTAGTTGCATGTTGCCTGCATCTGCTCTTTAATCCTTCCCTTTCCATCCTCTTATTCCCTCTCGACCCCCTCACCCTATGTGTGAGTGCAGATGTTCCGTGATAGGGCAGAGAGCTTCCGGGACCCCGATATCCCAAGGTGAGCGCCTGCCGTCCCTCACCATGCCATGCCACGACTCACAGCTCCCCACCAGCACAGTGCTGCCATCCATGCCATGCTGGCCAACATCAACTCCATACCTCTCCCTCCTCTCCCTTCTCTTCCCGTCACCTTTTTCCCCCTTGAATGATCTCAGTTTCCTGTACGGCTCGCACTACTCCACAGCGGGCATCGTGCTCTTCTACCTGCTGCGCCTTGAGCCCTTCGCCACTCTCAGCTGCCGCCTCCAGGTCAGGCTCGCTCTCGTCTGCTCTCCTGTGCTGCCCTGCATGCCTCTGCCCTGATGTGCTGTGGCATTGCCATGCACACTGCACTCTATGACCATGCTTGCACATCGTGCTTTGTCTTGTCGCCTCAAAGTGGGGTGGCGTCATTGGAATCAGTCTCACGGCTGTCAGCACCAATATCTCTCTCACACTGCTCCTCCATCCGCCCCCTCTTCCCTTCCCCCTCCGCTCTGGCCATTCACAGGGAGGCAAGTTTGACCACGCGGACAGGCTGTTCCAGTCGGTGGCAGTGACGTGGGCCAACTGTCTGACCAACACGAGCGACGTGAAGGAGCTCATCCCCGAGTTCTTCTACCTGCCTGACTTCCTCTCCAACGCCAACCACCTGTATCTGGGGCAGTGCCAGGACGGCTCCATGCTCAACGATGTCGTGCTGCCGCCCTGGGCGCTGGTGAGGCCATGGGGTGAAAGGGTGGGACGCATGGGGTGACTGGGTGGGACGCATGGGGTGAATGGGAGGGACGCATGGGGTGAGGTGATTTGCTGATCGCTGATCGATGATCTCTCATGCACTGATGCGATGATACGCTGATACGTTGATACGCTGATCGCTGATACACTGATACGTTGATACGCTGATCGCTGATACGCTGATACGTTGATACGCTGATCGCTGATGCGTTGATACGCTGATACGCTGATACGCTGATGCGCTGATACGCTGATAAGCTGATGCGCTGATGCACTGATACGCTGTTACGCTGATACGCTGATCGCTGATGCGCTGATACGCTGATACGCTGATGCGCTGATGCGCTGATACGCTGATACGCTGATGCGCTGATGCACTGATACGCTGTTACGCTGATATGCTGATCGCTGATGCGCTGATACTCTGATGCGCTGATACGCTGATCTGATCGCTGATACGCTCATGCGCTGATACGCTCATGCGCTGATGCGCTGATGCACTGATACGCTGTTACGCTGATACGCTGATCGCTGATGCGCTGATACGCTGATCTGATCGCTGTCACGCTGATGCGCTGATACGCTGATACGTTGATACGCTGATCGCTGATACACTGATACGTTGATACGCTGATCGCTGATACGCCGATCGCTGATACGCTGATACGCTGATACGCTGATACGCTGATGCGCTGATGCGCTGATACGCTGATACGCTGATACGCTGATACGCTGATATGCTGATACGCTGATACGCTGATGCGCTGATATGCTGATACGCTGATACGCTGATGCGCTGATACGCTGATGCGCTGATACGCTGATACGCTGATACGCTGATACGCTCGCTGATCTGATCGCTGATTCGCTGATCGCTGGTGGCTGATGGCTAAATACCTATCAGCATTTTCTCCCTTCTCTCCCTTGTCTTCCTAATGTCACACCACCCCATGCCCTCCCCCCCCCCCCTCATCCCATGAGCAGGGCAGTCCAGAGCTCTTCGTGCGGCTCAACCGGGAGGCCCTCGAGAGCGAGTGGGTGAGCTCAAACCTGCACCGTTGGATCGACCTCATCTTCGGCTACCAGCAGCGGGGGCTGGCAGCCATGGAGGCAGACAACGTGTTCTTCTACCTCACATACGAGGGCGCCGTGGACATGGATGCTCTAGACGACCCCATGGACCGGGCAGCTATAGAGGAGCAGATCGCTGCTTTTGGCCAGACGCCTGCCCAGCTGTTCCGCCGCCCGCACGAGCCCCGCGGCCCGCCACCCCGCGCCGCCCGCCCACTGCTGCACCGGCCGGCGGCGCTTGGACTTTCTGTGGTGGTGCCGGCGTGTCCCCCTGCTGGTGGTGGTGCGGGTGGTGGTGGGGGCGCGGGGGGGGGTGTGGGGGAGGTGTTGCGGCAGCAGTGGGAGGTGGGGGTGGTGTTTGTGGGGGTGGCGCAGGGACGGGTGGTGACAGTAACGAGGGGGCAGTGCATGGCGGCACGGCTGTGGAACACACCATACAGCTCCGGATACCAAGTTCTGGCTGCGGTGAGAGCAGGCGCTCATAGTGCACATGCACACACAGGCGCATTCATGCGAATGCATATGCTGAGTCATGGTCTGTCTGCTTTCCAAACTGCATGTGCATCCCACTCAATGTGCTTACATGCACTGGACAATGCATCAGCCTGCTCTTGCCATTCACATATTCCTGCTGACTGTCTCCCTTTCTGTCCATTATCTCAACCTCCTGTCCCCACGAACCCCCTGCCTCCCTCCCACTCCCCGCCCTCCTCCCCTTCCTCTGCTTCCTCTCCTCCACCAGGATGCCCCCTTCTCGCTGAGTGAGCCGCTCATCTCTCGGCGCATCGGGGCGCCCTTCGCGTCCACGAGTGGGGACGTGAGTCCGCACTGCTTCGCGCTGCTGCGCGGGGCCGCCTCGCCCTTCCTGCTGTGCGCCGCACACTGGGACTGCTCCACGCGCCTCGTGGCGGTCAGTGACGGCCGCACCCTGCAGGCCGTCAGGCAGCACACCGACGTCGTCACCTGCCTCTCCGGTTAGTCGTCGCCTGCTTCTTGTCCGGTCAGTCCGTCCTCTGCCTCTAACCTGCTCTTGTGATCAAGCCAGCCTAATACTGCCAAGAGAAACATGTGTTGCCATGCTGCCCTGATCACACTATCACACTCCTGCATATCTCCTTGTTCTGGCCCACCCCCACACTCGTTCCTCACAACGCCCGTTCCCCACCCCCTCTCCCTCCCTTCCCTCTCTCTCCACCCACAGCATCGGAGGACGGCCTGTGGATGGCAACAGGCAGTCGCGACACAACAGTGATGGTGTGGCATGTGGATCGCACACAGCCGCGCCCCTCCGCCGACCCCGTGCTGCCGTGCAAGCCGCACCTGCTCCTCTGCGGGCACGACGACGTGGTCACTCAGGTGCTCGCGTCCTCCCCACTTGACCTCGTGCTCTCCGCCTCACTGGACGGCTCGCTGCTGCTGCACTCGCTCTCCTCGGGCCGCTTCATCCGCTGCATCCGCCACCCGCTGCGCCACGCCGTGCAGCGAATGGCGGTGAGCCAGCTGGCGCTGGTGGCCGTGCACTCCGATGCGGACGGCTGGCTGCGCGTGGCGTCCATCAACGGCAAGTGGCTCGCTGCCGTCCCCACTGGACCCACCGCCACCACAACTGCCGCGGCCACTGCTGCTGGTGTTGCTGCTGGTGCTGCTGGTGGTGGTGTGGAGATTCACAATGAAGGTGCTGTAGGGGCTATTTCCAGCAGCGGTGAGAATAAAGCAGCTGCAACTGGCAGTGGTGGAAGCGGCATGCCTGTGTCTCTGTCTGTATCCCTGCCTGCTTCTGGCTCCACTGACAGTCAGCAAGTGCGATCACCAACCGCATCTGCAACATCAATGCCAGCATCCCCGTCCCAAGCAACAGCAGCAGCAGCAGAGGTTGACAGTGTGACATGCATGGCAGCAAGTGCGTGCGGAGAGTTCCTCGTAACAGCAGGAGCAGCGGGGCGGGTGACGGTACGGTCCTTCTTCACACTGGCCACGGTGGTGGTGTATGAGGGGGTGGGCGTGCCCGCCTGCTCCATCGCCGTCACCAGTGAGGACGCCATTCTCGTGGGGCTCGAAGACGGCCGCCTGCTGCTCTACTCGCTGTGTGCCAATGCCCTCACTGACTGATCGTGTCTGCTCGCACGGAACTCTGAGTTATGCTGTTCTTGCTCTTGCTCTAGCGCTTGCTCTGGCTCTTGCTCTGGCCTGGCTCTTGCCTTGCCACACAAACTCGTTGCAGTCATAAGGCTAGGGGTAGCCTAGGGAAAAAACAGTAAGTAGCATTGAATGATTAGCTGTAGTCTCCAGCAAATGTGACTAAACCTGAGCACAGATTAGTAGCTGCAAGGCTGCTTTGCATTCATGTAAGTACTCTGCTTTCCTCTTAGCATTCCATTGTCAAAATGTATACCCCTCATCCTTGCATGTCTAGCCTTGGATTAGGAAGGTTCCAAGCAGCTTGGATTACCAGTATTGTACCTTGGCATGGCACATCTACCTTGGCTTGAATGAAGAGCTGTATTCGATAATCGTAGCGTATGCTTGCATATTGTAGCAGCATAGCATACCGTACCGTATTGTACGACGGCATTCTAGCATATTGTATCATAGCATACAGTATTGGTACAATCTTCTGGATATCCTAGCATACCGGTGTTGCATCCTGTCATATTGCATCCTGGCATATTGTATTGCATTCTGGCATGCCGTAATACCCCGGATATAAGCGCATCTGCGCTTATAATAAAACAGTGTTTTTTAGGGGGGTGCGCTTATAAATGAGTCAAAATTATAAGTGCATGCGCTTATATAATAACAAACACACAAATATGTTATAAACGCACCAAACAGTGTATTAGATTCTAGCAATTTCATTCAAATCGAAATGTGTGGAGCATTCTGTTGGAAACAATCGATCTTAAGAGCCTCTGTCATGTCGAAACACTAGGCATGAACGAAGCGAAACATATCGAAGCACCGGCGAGTCAACCCTCGGAGGTTAAAAGTAACTGTTGGAGGTTACGCGAAAGTCAAAGGTCAGCGACCTTTGACCTGATAAGTACAGCGCGACAGCAAGGACACACAACTGACTCGCTACAGAGCAGTTGCCCGAGTCGTCACTGTATCGAACCGCAACAACAACAGTAAAATAGTTATAACTGCATCTCTTCGTATTCCTTGTACTCTTATGTAATCTTGTATCTCCTTGCATTAATCAATCTACTTTGCCCTCACATACTAGCGCAAGGTGGTTCACAGTACTTCATTAAACGCTTCCGCTACCGTCATCACCCGGATAGAAGACAGTGTCGAATTGAAGACATGGGGTGTCGTTAAAACGGGTGTTTCTTATAGATGGGTGTTCCTGATTATAAGACAACTGTCGGTGTGTACAAGTTAAGCCAGTATAGGGATTAGGGGCAATCTTATGACTAGGGGGTATCTTCTAAACGGTTTTTTGTCCATTTATAAGAATTATAAGACACCCTAAACCGTCCCAATTACAAGACACAGCAAGCTTTTTTTCTAATGTATAAGATAAGACATATATGTCTTCTATCCGGGCGATGACGGTATTACATCAGTCCTACCCATAATTCACCCCTGCAAAGATCCTAAGGGCTTTTTTCAGCCCAACATGGTATGAGAGCTGTCAGGGAGAATTCAACTTCTATTAAGATACCAACAACATCAACAAGCATGGCCACACAAAAGGAAAGGAGCTCCTCCAACGGCTCCCAGGGCACTACTCCTACTCCACCTCCTGCCTCTGGCCTACAGACAGAGCAGGGTACGGCAACAAGACCCAGGACAACATCCACCGAGACTCCTGCAAACCAACCTGCAGACTTCGACCAGAGCATGATGGAGAAATTCTTCTCTTTCATGTCCTACTACGAGCAACACCAGCAATCTGCACCTGCGCAATCACACAATAACAACAACAACGGAGCAACCCCCATGAGTCTCGACGGCTCATCATACGCACGAGGAAATCAACAGCAGCAGCCTACCTTTGCTCCGTACGAGCGCGGGTCCATCAGCTTTATGCCACACCCGCAGCCTTCACCTGGACAAGAAAAGTCACTAGACGCATTACAAGTCCAGTCGCAGTTCGCACACGTTCTGAAGATGCAGACGTCAATGTTGAAATGTATTCGTATACATTTATAAATGCCTACAGTAGAGTTTAGTGTAGTTATAGTTTCCTGCTTGGTGGTGCACCATTTGCCCATTTCCTTGACTATAACTTGTATGCCTTTCTATTATTGAAACCCTCTTTTCTCCTTCTCAACTCCCTCGATACTTTTCCTTCAACCCACAACTCGAACTTCTCCTAAGCTACTATGGCTTCTAAGCCCAACTTCTTCTAGACCTTTTGACAGTCAAGACCTTTCGATGGAAAGGATTTCTTCACCTGGTCGTTTGAATTCGAGTTGATGATGGAAGGCGCGCAGATACTTGGCTTCTTCGACGGGTCCCTGCCATATCCAACGAACGGCACACAGTATGAGAAGCAGCAGTACACCTACCAGTCGATGATGGCGTACACAATTCTACTGACGAATATCACCCCGACTCAACAGCAGAATATACGGTCTTACCGGGGTTACGGCAACTCCGCGGAGCTCGCATACAACCATTTGAAGAGTCTGTATCAAGCAACAGACAGCGTAAATCAAAGTTGGTTAATGGCGCAACTGACAACGGTCGAAATGAAACCAGGCGAGAAAGGAATGGCGTATATCAGCCGATGTCGCGAGTTGCGCGACAAGCTTCTTCGATGCGGAGGGTCGATTTCTGAAGACGCCTTCGTGACAGTCATCATTGGAGGCCTCGGTCCTCAATGGCGCGCCACAAAGGCCATTCTCCGAGCCCACGGAAGAGCACTCTGCGCCGAAATCCACGCCGAGCAGCAAGACATGAACCTGCAAGAAGAACGATACAAGAAGAAGATATCAGCACCGGAATTTGCATTCCACACTCAGCGACGCTACAACAACTACAAACAACAACAACCAAAGCCCGTACCTCCATTCTACCACATCTGCAAGACGTCAGGGCACCCGTGCACGCACTGCCCGAATCGACAACAGTCAACTCCACCGCAACGGCAGCTTCGACCCTCAACCTCAAGTGACATCGACGCAGGCGAACCCCACGAGTCAGTCGCAACCTTCAACAACACAACCTGCACAAAGAGCAAGAAACATCGTCAGCTGCATGGCAAAATTGACCGATTCCTGCATCACTGAGTCACCGCCACACTACTCACCGGAAGAACAACTCGACAACACCACACCTCGCCATGCGTCACTTCAACCGAATCCAACGTACGCAGCCATCGCCCAGAGCGAGCCATCCGGGAAAGACACCTGGTTCTTGGACAGTTGCTGCGGACAACACATGTGCTCTTTAGGATGCTTCGTGCAGCAAGAATACCAACTCCAACGCGAAGTAGTCATCACCGTCGCCAACAACCAGAACCTGCGCACACGACGACAAGGAGTGGTTCAACTTCAGTCACGAGAAACAAGCGTGATACTACAGATGTCAAAGGTTCTGATAGCAGAAGGACTTGGATATAACTTACTCAGCGTCAGCCAGCTGATGGCGAAGGGCATCCATCTCGAAGCAGACAGCACCACTCAAGAATTCAAGTTGTACCACAGGAGAGGAGGCCTTCACATCGGAAAGGCGGTCCTGAAAAACAACGTCTTCGTTCTTGATTTTGTTCCAGATCTAGGCACAGCAGACAGCGACGGCATCGTCACCTTCACTTCCTGGACCCACCCTCCAGACCTTGATCCAGACTTCAGCCCCGGCGGCTTCTGGCATTCACACACCATCTCTGAGGCAGAAAGAACAAGGGCGTAAGCAACAATTCAGACAACATCGGCAGTAGCAGAGACAACATCGGCAGCAGCAGAGAGAACATCGGCAGCAGCAGAGACAACATCGGCAGCAGCAGAACCATCAACGGCACCAGCAGGAACGTCAACACCAATCGCTGGTCCTTCAACGGCACCACTCCTCGTCGATGACACACCACTTACACCCGCGCAACAACTACACCCGGCACCACGAGAAGTTTATCGAAGCGCCAACTTCACCGCCAGCTTCTATTCCAACTCCGATATGTATCGGCGTGTCAGAATATTGTATAGCTTATACTGTTGTGTAGGCTATAGTGGGGTATCCCATAGGGGGTACAACCCAATTAGGGTTTCATATTTGTACTCACTTCACTCATAGTTGATTCATTCTCGTTCAAACTTTCTCATGGTATCGAGCAGGTTCCCCCGTGGGAACTGCACCTAGGGCCCACCACTAGTTTGAATTTTTTTTACTGCCCGGAGCGCGTCCATCCCGAGTCGCGCCTCGGGCCCTCCCTCCCCTAGCGGCCCAGCCGCCCTCACATCGCGGCCCCGTCGCCCCTGATCACGCGGCCCCGCTGCCCCTGCTGTCGCGGCCCCGCGGCCCCTGCTCGCGCGGCCCCGTCGCCCCTTCTGTCGCGGCCTCTCGGCCCCTGCTCAAGCGGCCCCGTCGCCCCTGATCACGCGGCCCCGCCGCCCCTGCTGTCGCGGCCCCGCGGCCCCTGCTCGCGCGGCCCCGTCGCCCCTGCTGTCGCGGCCCCGCGGCCCCTACTCAAGCGGCCCCGTCGCCCCTGATCACGCGGCCCCGCCGCCCCTGCTGTCGCGGCCCCGCGGCCCCTGCTCGCGCGGCCCCGTCGCCCCTGCTGTCGCGGCCCCGCGGCCCCTACTCCCGCGGTCCCGCCGCCCCTGCTGTTGCGGCCCCGCGGCCTCTGCTCTCGCGGCCCTGCCGCCCCTACTTTCGCGGCCCCGTGGCCTCTGCTTTCGCGGCCCTCGCCGCCCCTGCTTTCGCGGCCCTCGCCGCCCCTTCTCTCGCGGCCCCGCCGCCACCTACTCTCGCGGCCCTGCCGCCCCTGCTCCAGCGGCCCCGCTGCCCCGGATCTCGCGGCCCCGCCGCCCCAGCGCCTACGGCCCCGCCGCCCCTGATCTCGCGGCCTCGCCGCCCCAGCGTCCACGGCCCCGCCGTCCCTGATCTCGCGGCCCCGCCGCCCCAGCACTGCAGCAGCTGAGCCGCCCCGTTGCCGAGCCGCCCAG